ATGTAAATTTTTATGTATGTTTATTTATATTGAGTTTTAACGATTGGCACTTTATGCACCTTTCCGCTCTTCTCTCACATATTTTCTTATATCCTTTCCTATCGGTTGCCTGTAAAAGGTTACTTAGTGATAAAGCCGCCTTTGCACATCTCTTTAATTGTATATTTTTTTTATGTTAATGTACTATTTTCGTGTGCATAAAAGAACAGCACCTGCTATTTATCATCTCGATAGATCTTTAACAATAACTAGCGGCTCACCGTCGCTGGTTTTAACCGTTAGTATGCAATAGATAGACTATATAATAATGTTCTTCTGACCGATTCCGGCCACGGCGGTTAATCTCATTGAGACTAGCCAACTGCGCAGGAGATATTATAGTGCACAAGTGTACGCGCAGACACAACGTGCGCTCTCTATTCCTGTCACTCATACTCCGGTGGGACGACTGCTTGACACGACCGGTGAGAGTGTCGGCGCAGGACCGACGGCTTTACGTGCTCTCAGAGTCACGGGGGTGACACACCGCCAACTTCTCAACTCCGGGCTGTTACTGAGGCTTACTATACGGAAAGACTCAATAACTAAACTTGGCTCGACCCGGGACTCGAACCTAGGACCTCCGGGTGTGCAGCCGTATATGCTAGCCACTACACCACCGAGGCAGTAGACTATATAATATATGTTAAATAGCCTATAGCCTTCTTCAATAAACGAGATATCCAATGCAAAAAGAACTTTTCAAATCTCATTAGTAGTTCCTGAAGATTAGCGCGTTCAATCAAACAAACATTTTTTTTTTAATTTTAGTCTGTCTGTTTGTTTCAACTAATCTCCGAAACGGCTGAACCGATTTTGGCGGGGCTATAACTGGCAGGTAGCTGATGTTTTAAGGAGTAACTTAGGCTACTTTTATTTAAGAAATAGGATTAATGTTACGCGTAAAAAAAATTAAACCCATGAAATTGTGAACAAAATCAGCGTACCTAGGGACGCACCCGAGCAAAGCGGATGTAAGTCGCTAATCCATAATCTATAATAATATTATAAAGAGGTAAAATGTGTAAGTTTGTGAGATTGTGAGTTTGTGGCATTGTAGGGGGTAATCTCTGTATCTACTGAACCGATTTAGATGAAATTTGGTAAGAAAATAGTTTGAGATCCTGGGAAGGACATAGGGTACTTTTTATCCCGGAAATCATCCCTTAAGGGGGTGAAAATGGGGATGAAAGTTTGTATTGGGAATCAAGCTAGAGACAAACCCGCGCGAAGCGAGGCTGAGTCGCTAGTTTTAAATAAAACTATCTTTTCGGATTTTTTTCGCGAATTTATGATTGATTTTTGGTTCCCGACGTTTCGAATGCTTTACAGCAATCATGGTCACGGGAGAGACTGAGGTGTTAGATATCTTTTCAAATGAAAATAATCCTACACTATGAATTAAAGGCATTGAAAATTAAAAAGAAAACCTTCTAAAACATAAATACCATTCAATTTTCAATAGTTTTTCCTCATATTTCTACTTAATACACCTTTACTTTCCTTAAATCACTTTTATCATCAATTTGTAAAATTGCATCACTGAAAATAATTGAAAAGTATAAAAAAAAAAAATTATGTAAAAGACCTTGCTTCATGTTTGTATGTCTGTATGTCTGCTTGAAAGAAGAGTGCTTATATATTATAAAAAAACCTCAACAATAATGCAAGAACATATAAAAAAATATCAAATCTTTTTAAGTAAAAAATGAAGTAATTAAAAAATTGTATTTCTTACTGTATACATAATATTGAGATTTAAAATTTAAAAGTAAAAAAATATGTTGAAATGCATATCAGCACAAATAAAAATTATCCATACTTAATATTATAAACGTGAAAGTTTGTGAGGATGGATGGATGTTTGTAACTCAATCACACCAGAATGCCTGAACGGATCTGGATGAAATTTGGCACAGAGATAGATTATAGTCTGGAATAGCACATAGACTCCATTCTGCTTATCTTGTAAACTTTCATTTTTATGTAAAATTTTTGGTTAATGGTTAGCTTTTTGGTTGTTCCAGTCAGTTACTCGGTTTTGTGGTCTAAATGGACACCCATCCAGATATGAATGATTGTTAACTTCCATGTATTTTATTTAGTAATCTGTAGAATTTTAAAATTACACACTTTTGTGTGTATGTTGGTTAATTTTTTAACCAAGAATTTTAGACAAATCATTGCAACAGAAATTTCATCTTTTGTATTGGAACTTTAGTCAAGATATAGTCACAAATAGAAATAATTAATATTTGAAAACAGTCATATTTATTGTGCCCTAAAGGAGCATCCATTAATCACGTGAGACAATTTTGATAATAATTCAACCCCCCTTCCCCCCTGGTAAGCTTTCGTGAGATTTTGCTTGCCCCCTCCCCTACCCCTAATCTCACGTCAGATTTTTTAAAATGAGGAGAAAATAAAATTAATAATAAAACATTAGTCATAATAAGTTTTACAGAATTTTTCTTTTCAGTGAAAATTATTAGTGCATCATATGTTTAAAAAGCCTTGTATAGAGTTTCCATGTAATAAAAACATTAAATATTTAACACGTATTTATAATATGTATTTATTCGGAATAGATTATTATAGAGATATTAATAATTAATGTCATTAAAATTTAAAAATCACTTATAAATTATTACTTTATTCATAATATGCTATATCTTACTTATTTTAAATGCAACTGCTTAGAAAAAATATTGGTAATTATTTTTTTAAAAGAAATTAAATATTTTTTATAAATATCGCCCATTATATTTTAATGTCACTTTTAATAACGTCTTCGATGTCAAAATTTAACTTAACTTTAGTTAATAGTGATGCTCTTATTTATTGTATTTAATAATAGTAGACAAAAAATAAAAATCGATTAAATCAAATTTAAATCAAATAAAACGAAAGCGCATCAAAGTTAACCACGTGGTGCGTCAAGGTCGAATTTATGTTTTCAACTTGTCAAGCTCGGCGTGTGATAAATTAATTCCACGGGCTGTTATCGCGATACCTCTAACATAATTATAAACTTTAACACAAAGACGTAAGGTTGAATTTTGTTCGCGCAGATAGGCCACGCATAGTCGCCAACCCAGGCAATATATCTTAGGCCGTATACTGCCCGTGACAGTTCGTAAACAAACTGGAGCTACCGCAACAATGAACGAGTGACATTTAAGCACTTTCAGTTTATCATAATTATTATACAATTGTCGATACTTCTAGAAAAAATTAAATATTCCAAAACAGAACAATAAAACATTGAATCAATCAATCATAATTACAATTGTGGCGGAATTAGTCTTAAAAATACTCACCAGATAATTAACACGATCTCGAATGTGTTGCAGAGTCATCTGTAATACATCTTGCACATATCGATCACGTCTTGCAGTTCTCAAAAACACAAGTAAAAAAGAAGGAGGTTAGCACCAAATATCGGAACCGCTTTAACAATCTATCACTCGTCACGCGTTTATGTTTTGTAAATATGCATTTAATCACTTACGGATGTTTTTAATGTATAAATAATTTAGTCAAGCCGTTATATGATTCACAATCAAAATAAAAATAGTCTGGCAGACGCTGCGTCGACGACCGCGCCACTGTCTGTCTGCCGTGCTGTCAATATTCGTCAAAACGAAAATGGCGACACCCTCGACAGAATACGATCAGCACCGGCCTGCTCACTCAACCTCTCTCGCTCTAACATCGAGTGTAAAATGAGATAGACAATAGACGTGTTGTCTTCAGCCCGACCGGACTGATTTGTGATGTCACGCCCAGCGGCGTAACGTTTTGCGTAATTATACGACCACGATGGCTTGTAAACTTGTTTTAATAACTTTAATTTATAGCCGTATTGCATTATAAGGTCACTAGATGAAAGTGTCGATCTTAGTAAAGATTAATAATAATTCTATGTGTTAATAATGTAGGGTAATTCGTCTTTGCGCATGTTAAGCCCGTCCCACCACTCAATATCTGTCGTAAAAGCGCCTCCTACTTCTTCTTATTTTATTCAGGATTTTTTCAGATCTTCGTCTGCATTAATTCGATGCTACCGTGCAGTCGCAATGCAGTTTGATTAATAATGAAGTTAAGTCTAATAAGCTTTCTTTACAACTTTTTCTCTTGTATAAAACAAAAGCTATATATTAAATGACTTTGTACCAAACAAATAATTCAGAAATAAATATAGCTTTTATCACGTTTTCATGATGAACGAGTATTCACATTTATAAAATTTTGGTGTTGAATTTACTACCTAAGCAAGGCAAATAAATACCTATATATACAGACATATTAATTAGGTATTTACCAATTCCAAATTTTACTTGGTTATTATATAACTTGTATCTGTATTTTTAGTGATAGCATTTTAAAAAATATTATGATTTCCACAGTAGTATACAATTATTCTCAAAATAGAAACTAGCTGTCCTTTTTTAAATGTAATTATCAATCAATCGCACAATGTCAATGTCAAAAAAAATGACAATCGGATCACGATCGTAATCGATTACGTAATCAAAGCTACAACACTAGCAGGGTTGCTGTATTTTAAAAACCAGGAATTATCCGTTAACAAAGTAGACATTATGTCTAACTCTAAAATGTAACTATATCAAGAAAATTTACGTACCTAATTAACCATATTTAAAAATTCTTACGAATTGTAAACTTTAAATTACTTTTAAAATTAATAATAAATATATTTTGACATGATATTAAAAATATTTTTTACATTGGCAGTTTTTAATATATAATTATTTTTGAACATGGCAATTGGCAACGTTACTATCATATGGTCTTTGAATTTCTACCGTTGACGGTTGAACATGAACTAAGAATTTTTTATTTGAATCGTCGACACGTTTGTTCAATTGGAAAATCAATTTTGTAAACCTTTTTTAAACTAATATTTCTTTTAATAAACAATCCTAATCTGAATCAAAATGGGAGATCGTTCGCATACGTCTAGATTAGCTTCTTATAAAAATGCTGGACATGGAACTACGGTAAGTTCTTACATTTCTTTGTCTAACTAAACATAAATTATGATGGATTATTGGTTCAGTCTTTGATTATAGCTTTGGTAGATCTATATTCGCATAAGTAAACTATGGTCTACACAAAATATTTACTGTAGATTTATAATACAATACGGAATATATTTTGTGATATTAGCAGTTAACTTCCCTTTCACCATATATTTTTTTTTAGATTTATTCTTAATTCTTTTTCTATTAGGAGCTAAGGCGTAAACGTGCAGAGTTAAGCGTGACTCTCAGGAAGCAAGCTCGCGATGAACAGCTCCAAAAGCGCAGGGCCATGTCGCCAGAAGCTGGTGAAGAGGTCCACGAGACGGAGAAGTCCTTGCCTCCAGTTGAAATTATACAAGGTAAGAAGTGTATTGCCCTAGAAATATTTGGAAACGATTCTCTTCATACATGTAGGCAAATTATAAAGCTTAGCTAAAAACCAAGCCTTTATTTTTTAATCTCAAGGAAACAGGTCTTCATTAAATAGCTAAAATATGTAAATTAATTGAATGTTTGTTACTACAACACTAAAATTTCTAAATAGATTTACCCGACTGGAATTTAGCCTACATAAAGACAATGACTTGTAACTCATATTTTAATTTTAGTAATCTATACTAATATTATAATTAATAAAATTTGTCAAAAGGTATCAATGCTTCTATAATAATTTTATAAATACAAAAGGCACCCAAGGAAAGTGAGGGTAAAGTCTCGAGGATATGTTAATTAACCTTCATCTGTTCAGGTCTCAGAGCCTCTGACCTGGTAACAAAGACAACAGCAGCTCGGGCAGCCAGAAGGATGCTCTCAAGGGAACAAAACCCACCAATATCTACCCTGGTGGATGCGGGTGTAATAAAACCTTTGGTCGACGCCCTAGATAGAGATGATTGGTTAGTTTTTTGTTTTTTTTTACTTAATATTATTTTTGAACTTCATGTGTAATGTATTTTGTGTTCATTGAATACAGCCAATATTAATGATTTTTTAATGAATAAATTATAAGTTGAGGTCCTTACATGCCCCATTTAAATTTTGGGGTAAAATGACATTTTAATAAAAATTAAAGTTTTAAAGCAGCCACCTATCTTTTAATATCTGTCTGTTCCTGTAAATCTTCAAAACGGCTGGACCGATTTTGACAAGACTTTCACAGGCAGCTGATGTTATAAGGAGTCACTTGAGCTATATAAAAATAAGTATGATAGTCGGGATCTCTCAGACATGCAGGTTTCCTTATGATGTTTTCCTTCACTGTAAGATTGTGGTATTCATGTTGGAAATGATTTGTACATGAAATATCAGAGGCGTGGAACCTGGAATATATTAGATAAAATCAGAACAATGCTCTATTTCAGTCAAGATCTACAGTTTGAAGCAGCGTGGGCCCTCACTAACATTGCTTCGGGCACTCATGATCATACAATGGCTGTTATAAACGTAAGTATACTTTATATCACTACCCAGGTCCCATATTACATACCCAACCAGGGAAGTGTATAGTTTTAATATATAAGTTTTTTGTGTAATAAATAATATATGTTTTATTATAATAAAAAAAATAAGGGGGGCATGAAAATATTGCTTATTATCCGAGGAGGCTCGACAGAAAGGTTGGGAAACTCTGATCTAGATCTAGAATTTTTCATACATATTTCTAGTTTCAACTCTGATTAATAACACCCACCTGGCTGTTTTTAGCCATGGTGGCTGGTGGGTAAAGATTTAAAGGGTGGTGGAATATTTTTTTATTTTTTTTTATGGTGTTCAATGACAAACGAGCAGACATACCACCTGATGGAAAGTAGTATGTGTCGCCCATAACACCTACGTACGGTTCATGCACTTAGGTTTTATGTAACAAAAATGCAGAAACAGAACGTTGTCGTTTGGAAAAATAAGCACTAAGGCAACGAACGGTTATCTTCTTTAGAAATTATTTTAAAATAAATGGTGTAAATTATCACTAAATGGCACTGCATATTAATTCTGCCTTTTTGATCTAGACTCGAGACAGTGAATTGTCTGAGATGTACACTTTTGCACAAACAAATATTTTTATTCATATCAATTTAGATATATGTATGTAACTAGCGGCTCACCCTCGCTACGCTCGGGACAAATATTGACATTAATATTGATACGATTCTAACGTCACTCAATTGCCATCAATGTTTTGCCTTCCCGGAACCTCTCCACTAACACTTAAACTTTATGTTATGGTATTAAAGTTCAAATTGGCTTTTAAGTATTATTATGAATCTTTTGTATGGGAGTATAAAAAAGTGTTGTTTTTAGACTTTTTCAGGCAATTTTTTAAATTTTTCTCTCCGTTAGAACCATCCTCGTACTTCAAGGAATATTCAAAAAAAAGAATTAGCGAAATCAGTTCAACTGCTCTCGAGATTTGCGCTTACCAACACATTCAGCGATTCATTTTTATATTATAGAAGATAATAATCATTGATATACAAAAACTCAAGATAAACAGCATCCCAAAAGTGTCCTCTGAAAGAAGTGCATAGTTCGAAATTGAATTGCGCTTTCTTCAAACTTCTTTTGTTCATTGATTTTCGGATGACGAAATTAAAACGCACGTTGTTTCGTTTAAAAAGTTACTTTATGTGGTGTACTTTAAGTTCGAATTTGTGTTTAGACAATTAGAACTTTCTGGTTTTTATTTTTATTCTTTGGTTTGACTTAAGTCACATTTCGACTTCCTGGAGAGATATTTGTTAGGAAATGTGCATCTATGTTTGTATATATCAATGATAATAATAATAAAAAATATTATCAGGGTGGTGCCATACCGAAACTAATAGCATTACTGGCTCGAGGCGGTGTAGTGGGGGAGCAGAGTGCTTGGGCGTTGGGCAATATTGCTGGGGACGGGGCTGCGCCCCGCGATATGGTCCTGCAGGCCGGAGCCCTACCAGCCCTACTGCCTCATCTCACACCTAATACACCTGCCAGTCAGCTGAGGACTGCTGCTTGGACTTACAGCAATTTGTGCAGGTGTGTGGGTTATCAAGTTGTATTCAGCCCTTTTTAACGTCCCACTGCTGGGGGTGGGGTTCTCTTCAATACTAGGGGGATCAGGCTATAATCCAGCTCATTAAGCCAGTGCGGGCGGACTGAGCATGTCTTTCGAAAACTTGCCAGGTTCTCTCAGACAAGCAGGTTTTCTCACAATCAACGATGTTTTTCTTCACCATAAAACAATCGTGTTGGAAATGATTCGCACATGAAAATATCAGAAGTGCAAGACCCAGGATATGAACCCGCTACACTTGGTTTTCCAAGCGAGCGCGTTACCTTATATGTTACATATAAATGGAAAAGTTTGTATGTTTGTTTGTTACATCACATTGAAACAGCATCTGGATGATATTTTGTACAATATGAGCTGGAGGTTACTTTTAGATACCCTAGAAAGTGCTTTTTAAAGTCTAATTGATTAAAATTTCATTTCATTTTCAACCTTCTTTCAAAAAAGAGTTGGTTCTCAATTCTTCAGAATCTTGTTTTTTTATGTATGTTCACCGATTAGTCGAAGATGCCTGAAAAGATTTGGAAAATTCTTTTTTTGTTTCAATGGGTTCCCGGTGGTCCCATTTAAATTTTAATTTTTATTGAAATTGGTCGAGTGGTTGTTAAAAAATCTAATCACTAAAATGTAAAAAATAACTAAACGAGGGTTATCATTTAGAATAGATACCTAATCAGATATTTTCGAAGTCGGTGCCAGCCGATGTAAATCAACACACTGTCTAAAAATATTTGATTAGGTATCTATTCTAAATGAAAACCGCCGTTTAGTTATTTTTCACTTTTTTATTTTTTTTATTCTTTATTTTTATAAGGACATATACTAAGGCTAAACTCCACCGGTTTTAGTGTCAGTTGAAGGATTTGACTTTTTTTATTGTTTTTTTTTTCAGAAACAAGAACCCTCTGGTGAAATTCGAATTGGTGGCTCCAGCGTTGCCATATGTGTCAGAACTGCTCACCGTTAACGATCAAGATGTTTTGGGTATTTACATTAATACATTTTTTAGTATAACTTTTTCTTATGGTTTCATGCTATGCTTAATAAAAACATCTGGACTTTATATACTTAAAGTAAAAAAACTAATTGAATATCCATACTAATATTATAAATGTGAAAGTGTGTTTGTTTGTCCTTCTTTCACGTCGAAACAGATTGACAGATTGGCGTGATTTTCTTGTGTGGAGATATTTGGAGGGCTGGAGAGTGACATAGGCTACTTTTTTCCAGTCAAAAGCAGTTTTGACTGGAAAAGAGTTTGACAGTAACATATAAAGTTACAAAAATATATGATACGAGGTTGAAAACACTTCCAAAAAATAAAACGGCGACAAGAATATACAAACATTTAAATATTACTTGTATAGAATTATACATATATATGAAACATAAAAAAAATCTCTCTTTACAGCGGACACTTGCTGGGCCTTATCCTACCTGACAGACGGACCCAATGAGAGAATAGAAGAAGTCCAAACCACAAAACACCTACTACCCCGTCTGGTTAAGCTACTCCAGCACAAGTCACCAGCTGTCCGCACACCAGCTCTTCGAGCGGTTGGGAATATGCTGACTGGATCCGATTTACAGGTATGATTGTTCAATTCAATCAATTCTCTTGGTAATAATGGCTTCAAAGCGTGCCAGTTAAGCATAAATTATTGCACCAATGTCACATCAAATGGGGAAGATAAGGAGATTAGTCGGGAAAATAAGATTATTGTATTTAGCCCTTTTTAACGTCCCACTGCTGGGCACGGGCCTCCCTTCAATATGAGGGGATCAGGTAGCCTGATAACAAAACACACTGTAATTTACATAATATATACATTTTTTGTTCCAGACTGATCGCTGTCTAGAAGCAGGCTGTCTAGATTACTTATCAGCACTTCTCCGCTGTGGCAAAGCTTCCCTTGTGAAAGAAGCAGCTTGGGCGGTCAGCAATGTTCTTGCCGGTACCCAAGTTCAAATCCAACAGGCCATAGATAAGGGCTTACTAGAACATCTAGTGTTTGTGCTGACCACTGAGGATATTAAGTGAGTAGTCAGTAGATCCTTTTATAAAGACTAAAAAAATCCAATACATTTTAAGTATTTATTATACAAAAAATATAGCTAATAGGTTATCATCCATTGCGACAACGCAAGCACCACAGACATTCACTAGATGGCGCTTTTCGATGTCGATTGGCGGCCGAGGAACAATGCTAATATCTAAAAAAAAAAATTTTTTGTTTTTGATACACATTATAAAGAAACGCCCATGACTAGAGTACAAACATTCGTGCTCATAACACGAATGCCCCAAGCGGGACTAGAATCCGCGACCGCTAACACAGCAAATAGGGGGTCACTACAAACTGAGTTAAACGTGTCTTGAAACTGTCGATAATCATTTATTTTCCTTTCAGATGCCAAAAGGAAGCCGCATGGGCTATAACTAACCTCTGTCTGGGGGGAACCCCCGCACAGTTAGATGCACTCATACAGGCTGGTTTCTTGGAACCGTACTGCGCTTTACTCGGGTCACCGGATCAAAGGGCTGTCACTGTTGTTTTGGATGGGATCACGCATTTGTTACAGGTATGAATAAGAAGGATTGATTTTAGTATATATTGAACTCTTTTTAGGGTCCCATACTTTTAGCAGAAACCCATATGGGATCAGTTCACTGTCTGTCTGTCTGTAAATCTGTTAAGATCCTATTTCTGAGGAACGCATGGAGGTAACGAATCGAAAGTAATATCTAATAATCAATTCTGCAATCTATTCGAGATATGAAAAAATCAAACTTCAAGTCAAAGCAACTAAAGATATGGCCGTTTTATTATTGTTTTTTTTTTCATTTATCAGTTACTATGACACAGTCTATATTATTCTTTACTTTGAGATCAAAACATATAAGTTTCTATATCTATACAGATAAATAAAATTGAAGTGTCTGTTTGTAATGTCGAAATAAAAGCTTTTTACTAAATGCATATTAAAATATTATATATGGTACTTATAAGAAAAACACAATTTTTAATATTTTTGTTTGTACTGACAGAGGTGTGTTTATTCCGGCTATTCTAGCTGATGTCAGAAGAAGTAACTGGGCTAGGGAATATGCGTCATTTTTTGTTTTTTTTTTAATATATAATAGCTTGTTGTTCATCGTATTGTTCGTACATCGTTATATAATGAAAAAAAAATATATCCAACTCCAAAAAACTAAAATTTAGTAGGTATAAAAAAAAATCAGAAATATCATACCGTTAAGGATACTTCAAACGCACGCCATCTCGCTTTAAAGTATATCATGAACACAGAAAAATGACAATTTTTAGCGACAAAATCGCTAATCGCTCTGTTATTATAATACTCTGACGTCATATTCGGTCTGACCAAGTGGCGTGCGTTTCAACTACTTTAGTTTCCCATGTATATTTGCACTTCCAAGTAATAATTATTTTCCTAATCAAAAAGAAATTACATTAAAACAAATAACATATTAATATATAAAATTTTAAAATTATTAATATATAAAATTAATATATATGTAATATAAAAATTATCAAAATTTAAAATGTTTGATTTGTTACAGGCTGCTGCTAAGTTTGGTCAAGTGGAACCTTTGTGTATCAAGTTAGAAGAAATTGGTGCTTTAGACCGCATTGAGTCATTGCAAGAGCATGATAATGAACAGGTATTTTTATATATGTACTTGTATTATAAATATATACTAATATTATAAAAAGGCAGTTTGTTTGTTTGTCATCTCAGGAACTACTAACCTGATTTGAAAAAAATTTTTTGCATTAGATAGCCCGTTTATTGAGGAATTTCATCTAAATCTGTGCAGCGGATTTTTAGTTTATCCATTACAAAGAAACATACAAAAAAACATTATTTTCTCTTTATAATATACTTATGTAATTATTATTTATATTTATTATAATTGTATATGTATATTCTATTGACAGATCTACAAAAAATGCCTTCACATTCTCGATAACTATTTCATGGAGCAAGAGGATCAAAACGCTCAGCCTCAGGAGACAGGAGATGAATATCAGTTCGGTGCGAATGCAGATGACCAAAATATTAATTTTTAGATTTATATATTGTATTTTCTTGTTAAAAATGTAATTCCAGCTCCTAAATAAATAAGACTGGTTAGGTTAAGTAATGGGGAAGAATGTTGCCATTTTCCACCAGATGATCTATGATCCCTCAGTATATTGTAAAGCTCTATAGCGTGGATGGAATTTATTTAATTTTATTTAAATTTTATTAAAATAACACGTTGTGGAATGCCAGGATGCAAAGAAAATGGATATCATTTGTTCCCAAAACACAAAAACCGTATGAATTGTGGGGTAAAGCAATAAGACGATCAAAATTGGCGAAATCACAATCTTTATATTTAAGGCTATATACGGACATCTGATCGCGACATCTGGCGGGAGAAAATGGCAACATTCGTCCCCATGTAGAAAGTTATTAATTCAAAAAATAAGTTTTTTGTATCTATCGATTATCGTTTTGTGATAGTATTTATTTTAATCGATGTTTTGTATTCGATTTTTTTAAATGCCGATATAATGCTGTCGCAAAATTTTTGCAATGAATATTTTAAACCTTGTCAAAAAAGTATAATGAATTCCTTGTATTTTGAAAGTAGTTTTGTACCATTAAAAAAAACTATTTTTGTAAGTATTTTATTAGATTTATTTCTTAGAATATTTAAAATTTTAAATAAAATTATCTTTAAGAATTTAGTTAGCGGATTTATTCAGATTTTTGGTTTCCAATTTGAAATAATCAAAATAAATCTGCGATAAAAACGGAACAGTTTTATTTAAAATATTTTTGTCAGATTTTAACTTGTGCCTTAATATTGCTGTAGAAGGAATTTACTAATAAACTAAAATAAAATTAAATATCTACTGAAATATGTTCTTAAAAAATCATTATATTATAAAAATATAGCTTTAATATAACTTACAATTAGAATTATTGTTAAGAAAAATCTGCTTTTTAAAATCTTTTTTTTGGATATGCCATTCTCTCGGTAGATATGAATTTTTTTAACTATTGTGAGCTGGTCTCAAACTGAATTAATATCAATTTAGCGTTCATCCGTGGGTATGAAGTGAAGTATGAATAAATGATTTTTATGTACTTGGTTGTTTTTTTTGTATATCTCTTTTGAATAAAAAGCGAACAAAAAATATAAGTTAATGAAGGAAGATAGTATTATCACAACAAAACTACTCTGCCCACCTGAGCCTAAAGTGCAGTAATAGACATTTTGGTCGGTTTTGAGTTAAATATATATTCTAAATCCCCATTTTAGTAGCTATCAGTCAAATTAATTCTTTTTTCTGTAGCGCTAATAAAAGTATTTTATTTTAATGTTTTTTCGGAAGGTGTAACAGCAAAAATATCACAAATCTGTTAAAATATTCCATGTTTACCAGCTAAACCGCAGTACAATTAATACTGCACAAGATTTTTCTCTGTTTCCTAACTAAACTGCAGTGTTTTATCATATTTTGTGGCACTTAAAATAATAGTTTGTTCTAGGAGATTCAAGAAAAAACTTATTAAAATGCAGTATTATTCGACTCTATACAAATTGATTATACTGCAAAGGTTAAGAAAAAATATTTTTTATTTATATTCCTAATTAAAGTGCAGTATTAACATTCCATACTGCACATTAACTTGTGGGGGATTTTGTAAGTTCTTGTGAAAAACTAAAAGACATGCAGTATTTAATAACTTTACTGCAGTTTAACTTGTAGGATGTTTTGTAGTTGCTTGTAAAAGACCATTTAGTTTACAATATTTATAAATTTTACTGCATATTAGTTAGTTTGCTTCATCCAATTCATACTACCTAAAATACTTAAAGTCAAATACTATTCCCTAATACTGCGTTTTAATAGGTAAAATTATTAAAATATTAAAACACAGGACAGGCAATATCGCGGTTTGAGGCAGTCTCCTTAATCTGTGGCTTAAGGCTGACTTGACGTGCCATGCTGTGTCTGTACCAAAAAGATATGGAGGGTAGAACTAAGGAGAACTATTTCTCGTATAAAAAGTGACTCGCTGACAAGCATTAAATTGGTGGCGCCACAGAAAACAAGTATATGAATCTATACATCTATACAGATAAATAAAATTGTAGTGTCTGTTTGTAATGTCAAAATAAACCTTTTTACTAAATGCATATGAAATTATATACGGTACTTATAAGAAAAACTAATTTTTAAAACTTTTTGTGTCTGTTTGTTCCGAATAATCTCTGAAACGGCTGGACTGATTTTGACGGACTTTCAGTGGAAGGTAACTGATGTTATAGGGAGTAATATAGGTTACTTTTATTTAAAAAAAAGAATTAGAGTTCCGCTCAAAAAAAAGTATCCAGGGACGAACCCGAGTGAGGCGAGGGTGAGTCGCTAGTTTAAAACATAACTTCATAAAAGTAAGAAGGTGAATTAAACAAGGAAAGAAAGATTTCCGCTTTGCTGTGGCGCACTTTTCTAAATAGTTCTAGCATAGGCAAACAGCAATATCTTTATATATATAATTCTTCTGTGAGTGTGTATGTCACTGAACTTCTCTCAAATGACTGGACCGATTTTGATGAAATTTTTTGTGTGTGTTCAAGGGGATCTGGGAATGGCTTAGATTCACAATTTGAATAATAATTTTCATCAAAAAAATTATTAAAAAAAGTTTGAAATTTTCAAATTAAAGACGTGTAGACAGGACAACGTCTGTCGGGTCCGCTAGTAATTATATATTATTTTCAAGTAATAATAATTCAGCACACTTCACTCCGTTAAAAACTACTAACTTCACATCACATCTACTTGCTACGCTAGTGCTGTAAAGCCTAGTTCGCATTAAGCTAGTATTTTAGTCTAGTAGCGAGTAATTTAGTAGCTAAATTACTCGCTACTCACCAAAAATCGTTCGCACTTTGGTCGAGTACAGTTTACAAGTGAGTGGTGTTTTGCAAGATGAACAGCCTACAACGCAATAAAGTAAATAAACTGATTAAGCTGATCGTAACGGCTATTTTAGAAGAGGTGGATGAGGAAATTTGTGTGATTAATAAAAAGAAGCTATGGGTACGAAAATGGATCGAAAGACGAGATAAACTAGGAGCTACTAATTGTCTTCTGAAGGTATTAGCATTGGAAGATCCCAAAGAATACTTCGATAGTTTGAGAATGTCCGAAAGTTGTGTAAATTTTCTGTTAATGAATGTTATGGCGGCAACTAATGAACTCGACTAATTCGACAGGTTCGTACTTGTTTAGCCGGTGAACCAGTGAGCTCGGACGCGTGGTGGGGGCTGCCACTCGCCCAAAAAAATAGAATAAAATGGATTGACTCGACTAAATTACTTACTAAACTAATCGACTAAATTTTTAGTGTTCAGACACGTTTAGTTACTAAATTACTCGCTACTAGACTAAAATACTAGCTTAATGCGAACTAGGCTTAACGGTGAGTTTCTGAGCTATAATTTGCTGCTCACTACTGGACACTTTTTCAACCTGTTTCCCATATAAGTTAATTCTCCTTAGTTCTCCCTTCCATAATCTTTTCAGACTATTATTTTTATAAGACAAAAATACTCATTTAGTAATTAGTTATGTTCAGAAGAAAGATTTTATATAAATTTTATTGATCCATGCATGAGAAATACATGTGATATAGTTTTATGGTGGATTAACTAGTTAAGATTATCAACATCTTGTAAAGATTGTTATATTGTTAGTCATATAAAACAATTTACACTATTAGATTATAATGTACAATGTTTTGATGAATAGTTTTAATAGCATAGTCATAAATGTCCAGTTTTGTTTAAGAAATTACATATTTTTATCAAAATTAAAGGTAATTTTATATTACTATAAGTGTGGAATATCAGTGTTTTGTTCAAAAAAACAGATTAAATAGCAGTATTTTCATAATATTACTGCACTTTAGTTAGTAACAATCATGGAAGAAATGTCTAAAATGCAGTAATAACAGGATTTACTGCATTTAAAACAGTTTTTGAAAAGATTATACAAATAAAGTGTGTGTAGTAATAGGGGCAAAAAAATTAAAATTGCCATAATTATAGTTTTTTATAAAAAAACTAACGTAACAATGTTTAGTATTTTAGTTTGGTACATATTCTTTCACTTTCCATTCAAGGTTTTATCGAAAAGTCTCTTTTTGATATATTTTTATGGATTCTAAACTTTAAGCGCGTTTTTCTCGAATTCGTGTTTTTGCTGTTACTGCACTTTAGGTTCGGGAGGGCAGTACTGGTCTCATCACAAAGAAAAATTTGTTCAAATTAATGTCAACAAATGACGTTATATGTTATAATTTATTATAGTTGCGTTAAATTAATAAAAATTAAAACAAAAGATCCCAAAAAGGTGAATTTTTATTTAAAAAATTAGAATAATCTAAGTAATTTTACTGATTATTGAAATATCAGGATGATGGGTTTGTAGTGTATGGTCACAGATGGCGCTTTTTCTTTTTATGAATTGTTTATCTTCGTCAAAAATTGTTAAAATTACTGTTTTTTTTTATTTGCATGCAGGATAAGTTTTACTATATTACCTACCATACGTTATTATGCACATATTTATGAAATAAGAAAGTTTAACTATTTGCGAATCAACATTTATCTATTCAAGCAAACAAAAATAGCCCGAATTAGCGCTGTCCAATGTCTTTTTATGGGATGAGGCATCTGTACTAGTATAGTATTAAGTGATCTGTGCATTTAGTAATGAGTTTGTAGTGCATGCTCACAGATAGTGTTATTTTACATGGCTTAAGTGACTAAAAGAGACTCAATGAAATCCAGGATGATTTTTGCTAAATTTAACTCATAATAAATTGTCATTTTTTAAACTATTTTCTTTCTTTTATGTCCAAAATTAACTTTACCAAAAAGTAATGATTTTGGTATAAAATTCAAATCACATTTACTGAATCTAATTTACTAATTCTGTAATTTAACTTTCATATTTGACGACACGTTTGGCTCAGTTTGTAGTGATCCTACTTGCTGTGCCAGCAGTCGCGGGTTCGAGTCCCGCTGGGGGCATACATTTGTGTGATCAGCACGAATGTTTATACTCCAGTGGTAAAGACAAAGTTGCGAATGACATTAGTGCGTGAACAATGCTTCGCGTAGTTTTAGAAGAGAGGGATGCATGAAGGCGAGATAAAAGCTGCGGAGCGCTGGACGACCGGCAGAACGATTTAACTCACGTTACGAATCCCATATAATATTGTCGGGTTAGCTCTGTATGTAGTAGTACTTATTAACCCAATTTAGTACAGTCCGCTCTTTAATTTAGACTCTATAGGGTAGTCAGTTTTCCCTATCATAAAGTGTACAGGGCACTGTCCCCATCATCCAGCAATGGGTGTTTATATTTAGTAGTGTATCAACTATCTGGTATCCATAACACAAGCCTCGTAGCTTACCATGGAACTAGATAGTGTTGTGTGTTAATGTACCAACATATTTATTTATATTATTTAATAATAAATTGCCCTTCCTTTGAAAGAGCTTTTTTTAAAGCCTAGATATTCAATTTTTCAACTAAAGATCATAAATAACACCCCAAATGTAATTTTTTAAATTTATTTTAAGAAAGAGAAGAAATGAAAATTATAATATATAATATAAGATCTTAAAATTTAACTCCATATCTATGTTTTATTCTGCTCTCGGAGCTTTTCCAGCTGTTGTCTGAAAAATAAAAAATATCTAGATAAAATGTGTTACATTATATTTAATTTTTTGAAGTTATACTTCTTTTGGCACGTTTGGAAAAAATGATGAGAGTAAAATTTTTACGATGCTTGGGCACACCGTCAGCCAAAAAGCAACATGATGAAGTTAGCTGCATTCCTTTTACAAACAGAAAGTTGTGACATACAGGATGAAATGAAATCTTTAGCTATTTTTGTTCTGTTACGCCAAAGAAGTAGTAATTTCTTATGTGTGTACATAAGTACACACACACACACACACACATTTTTCTTGTTTAATATTGATACTTCAGTAGTATGGTTTTGTTTGTTCCATGTACAAACAGTGATCAATTACAATTTTATTATATGTATAAATTACTCTTATTCAAACTATCAACAATTTGAATTACTGTAACAAACAAAATACTTTCCAATATTGTAAAAATATAATTAACTAAAATTTCACTTGAAGTAAATCAAAGCTTACCTTAACTGTTGGCTAAAATCATCTTGCACTATATCATCCTCCCAGTTGTCTTCCCATACCGACACATCTTCATCATCAGCATCTTCTGTTCCCCAATCTAAGTAATAAGTAGTAACATGTAAAGATTAAATGGTATGACTATAGTACTCTGAACACAATGGCTTAAAAACAATTTATAACAAATATTGAATATTTCACTAAAGATTAGGTTAGTTATTATTTTTCGTTACTAATTATGTATATTGCGTGCAATTTCACTAAACTGTAATGTGGTGTTCATTCGAACTTCAATTTAAAGGTTACTTTAAGTTCGCCTTCTAAATAATATAACATTATTATTTTTTATATAGCCTATAGGTCTATTACAAATATGAAAATTTTTCATAACATACAAATGGCTGATCTCTAAGAAAATAACATGTTTATTTAGTAAATACTAAATAACAATACTTTTTAACATTAAACTTACGTTCAGCGGGAAATTCTTCAAATTCATCGTCCTCTTCCAACAAACCAAGATCTACTTTTTGTTTATCAGCCATTATAGTTGTACAGAAGGGGGCTAATATAGATTTTTAATAATATTTCCCTTAATATTTGTTAGCTTTACAAACAACAGCAAGATTAAGAAATTCAGTGATTTACGATTTTTGACAAGTCATGAAGTTTGAAGTTTTATGCATTGCGTAGCGTAGTGTCAGCTTGTCACAGATAATATAAGCAGATTGTTTGTTAGGGCATATACACATTCGGCGATACACGTCCAATGTCTCGAACGAGACATAACCTCTCTCGATGTAATATAATGAACAATATAATACATTCAATTAAAATTAAAAGCCAACAATGTAAGGAAAGATATAATGTTCTTGATGTTACATCTTTATGAGAAGTCCTGCTTAAAAATGAATATTTTTAAGAAAATAACATTTTCATTAATAGAGAATATTCTAAAGTACCTATAGCCTTAATAAGGAATATGCATCAATTTTGTTTAATTTACTTTTTACTTTGTTATAGCATATTAAAAAATATAAGTACTTTTGAAACTTATTTTAAAATCTATACTAAGTTGGGTTGTAGGGGGTTCTCTCTCCCCCCCAACGTGCGTTCACCTTGTCGTGGTGGGGGGGCTCAGTAGTAGTAGCGAAGCTAAGATACGCACAGGGAGGTTGCCCACTTCGGTGGGCGGTGGGAGGTGGCCCTCTTCGGGGGGCAGTGTACCTTGCGGGTTGCTCCTGGTACTTCTCTGATAGCAGAGTGGACCTTGGAGCAACCCCATGGTTGTGGTGGTCTGCTTTGGCAGACCTGCCGTCGGGGCGTCGTAGTTGAATGCGTAAGCGATCCTGCGACGCCCCATTAAGACGGGGGAAGGTTTTGTTGGGTTTTAGTGGGTATTACTAGCTGTTGTACGCCGGTGAGTCCCACACGTCGTGCGTAAATGCATTTCCCAACGTTAAAAAAAAAGGGGGTTCTGTCTGGATCTGAACCGATTTAGATGAAATTTGGTAAGGAGATAGTTTGAGACCCTGGGAAGGACATAGGTCAAGGGATGAAAATGAATTTGACCTGTTTAAACGCCCCCATTTTCGCGCGCTTAGAATTGAGTTCATTTCTTTTTGCGAATAGTTTTCTTTCTTTTCTTTTCTGGTACCATTTCTCGTACGTATACCTAACTTTCCCTCGCCACGCTGCTCCAACTTATAAGTATACTACATAGGTACATATATTATGGAGGCATAGCCTGTGATGTACTGTGCTATATTATTTCTACTAAGTAAATTGAAGTGGCGAAAAATTATATAAGCTGTAAAACTTTGTAATCGCGCATATCGCATTATACCTATCTATTTAGCTAAATTAATAACAAAGTTACATATGCAGTTTGTATGATGTTTTAGTTTTTCTTGGCTTTATGAGCTAAACTCTGTGTTCAAAATTTGAAGCTCGTGAGTCGTGGGTCTACTAAAAGTACCTTAGAATTTTGATGATCAGTGGGCGAGTCAGTGACAAAATTAAAGAATTTTTGGCTCGACTTGGCGGGGGCTCTGCCATGCCCCTAGATCTGTTGTCTGGTGGTTTTTCTTATGTGTGATTAAGTAAATAATAATAATATTATCATCAAAATGACAAGCCTGTTTAACTGAGACTAGGTCTGAGACGGACCCGACGGAGTTTGAGAGTACAGAGTGCACTTGTGTTTGCACACACATGTAGACTATCAGTATATATCCTGCGTACATTACTAATATAACCATGGCTAAAATCCATATTTTTATAATAAGATGAAATAATAAGAAACATTTATTCACGCAATCTTTATTGATTTAATATACAAATTCAGTACAGTACAAGAATATGTTATATGTAGAACAATGAATCATTACAAATAAGCCTTAACTTAATATATCACAAAATATCACATAATTATAAAATCAGACTACAAAAATAATTGTATTATTTTCTGTATATTTTAAAGATATATTTGAATTGATACATATTCTACGAAATTACAATAAAGTACTTTGAAAGTAGTGTGAAGCGAGGTTGTATATAGCTGTGAATTATAATAAAATATTTTCATTTTTTTTTACTTCAACTTTATATTACTTTCTAATGTGAAGCAAATAAACTGCATAGTTTACATAAATACATACATGATTATAGTATAAAATATTTTCACAATAAAATAGTAAATATTTTTTTTCACGATAATCAATAATTCAATTGAAAAATAAAATCGCTATTTTTTATTTTAATATTATTTTTTTTTCGCGAATATATATGAATTAACATAAGTCTCTGCGTACAATAGAAATACAGAAAATTAAGTCTTCTAAAATATATCATAATAGTTTATTTCACTATGATTTCTAAAGAATAAATGAATGAAATCAAAATATAATGAATAAGCCATAAGAACAATTATATGACTTAGGTATTTATATTTAAAATAATACTCTAAGTCTAAACCGTACATTAAATTCTTACAATTACCAGCATTTCCCCAAACACGGGGAAAATAGCAAGACATGACAACATTTATCTGTCAAAGCTTAGAATGGCAAAAGTACTACGACGTTCTGCCAGAAAAAAATATTACCGTCAGAGGTATTATAGTCATTTATTTGCATTCATAAAGCAAATAACTGTGCAAAATCTTTGGTATTTCCAATTTCTTGACAACTTTTATCAAAGTAGTGCCAAAGAATTTGCGGAAAAATATTCTAGTTTGAGCCAACAACGAAATTGGGTTTTTGGCACGTTCAATTAAAGTTTCTTTTTGAATTGGTTTTAAAGTGTTATTTCTTTTTATCATACAGAGATCAAATGATTCAGCTGCTTCTAGAAGGATATAAAAGATATGTTCATATTCTTCAGAGGTGACGTTTTGAAGGTGATTGAGAATGCCGTCGGGGTCGCGAAACTGAGTTTTCATTATAACCTGAATTAAATAAAAAAAATTAATCATCGGGGAGTTGATTTTTTAGTCGAAATGATGCTGCCTGTAACAGTATTTAGTATATATCCTAATTATAATTATAATTTATACAAAAAAGAATTGTGTACATTATTCCATAAAAAAATGCTCAGGTACTTCAATTTCAACCGTTTTGATAGATTAAAAAAAATCCTGTACTGTACGTTGAAGGGAAAAATCTTAAACGAATTTATGAAACCGATTTAGAGTAAAACCACAAACTCATTTCATTTTTCAGAAGTAAGTTTTCCCTATCGAAAATCAAACCTATGGTTTTTGAAAGAAAAAAATATTCCATGGTGATATCTTGCAAGAGACATTCACTACACTAAAGGAAACAGATTTTTTTACAATAACAAAATTACAAAACGTAGTTATTAACGATTTAATTTCGCAATTTCATTTCAATTGCATGTCATTCTCAACTCACCCTAGCACCATATCTAAGTAAGAGAGTAACAGTGTCAGCGCAAGGCTCAGTGTTGCTCGCGAGATATTCTGCGAGAGCCGGTCGCAGTTGAGCTCCATCATCTTCATTATACACCTTTAGGTTCGGATCTGCTCCACTTTCTAAAAGGATCTGGAATGAAATAGCTTGTTACTTTCTTCTTCTTTCCGATTTTAAGGGAAAAGAGTATTGGTGAAATAATAATGAAATTCTACTAACTTTCGAAAGCTATCTAAGATAATATCTTTCATCATCATGGACTACTTGCGTAACTAGTTTAATACATAATTGTCGAATGGTTTACAAAATATACACAAAATTTAATTAACTTTATGGATTACTAGCAAAATCACCCTCGGCTCGCTCCGGTACGTCCGTAGCTTGCTTCCCAAAACAAACTTTCATTCCCATTTTCACCCCCTTAAGGGAATGATTTCCGGGATAATAAATATGCTATATCCTTCCCAGGGTCTCAAACTATCTTCTTACCAAATTTCATTTAAATCGGTTCAGTAGATAAAGAGATAACCCCCTACAACGTCACAATCTCACAAACTTTACCTCTTTATAATATTAGTATAGATAATACACAGAGAGAATAATTTAAAGTGTTGCCATGTTGTATATAATAGTAATAAAATAACCTTAACAATTTCCTTTCTGTTAGATATGTTGTCGGAGCAGGCCACGTGTAGAGGAGTTCCTATCACGGTACTGGACGAGTTCACTTGGGCCCCTGCAAATAAATAAGTATAATTACTAAAACTAGATTCACTGGACTTTCTTAGATTTTTTCGCGAATTTATTTGGATTTTTGGTTCTCGACGTTTCGAATGCTTTACAGCAATCATGGTCACGGGAGAGACTGAAGTTATAGACTAGCAATAGCAGTGAAGTAGTACGTTGAAAAGGGCTGAATACGAAGATTGGTTATAAAAACGTAGAACAAGAAAAAATGAAAACAATACAAATGCAGTTACTGGAATGTATACTATATGATTCCCCAAATATTAACGTACCAGCAGAAAGCAGCATCTGCAACATTGATACATCTCCCTTCAATATGGCCAAGTCTAAAGGACTGGGTTTGTTCAAATCAGGAGACTCGTAGTTGACCCTCGCGCCTTGCTTGATGAGGAGGTTCACGACATCCGTGCAGCCTAGAAGTAGAAAGCTAGTAAAGTGTGGGCTTGAAAACATGACATTTGAAGGAGAAAAAACAAAATTTAATTTCGACTTCAAAATAATGTATGTAATTTGCTGAAATTTTGGGATTTTTCCCAAGATACAATACAATAAGCTCACAATATATGGAAATATCGCGTACACACATAATATATACATAATTAAATTATAAAAACATACTTTTTATTATTAACTGTTTAGGTTAAATCGCTTAAAAGATTTGTTTAAGTTTCATCCAGTCTTAGAATTTATTTATGTTCCTGTCCCTAGAAATCATTTTAGCAAGGAACTTGGTAATAATGAGGTAACAACATTTTTTCGCTAAAATAAAATAATTCGAGAATTCATCGCCATCTATCGTTTACACTTTACATAATAAAACAAAAATATCCCAAATTAGTGACGTTCATTATTTTGGACGTAGCATCTACACAAGTACACATTTTCAAAGTTTTAAAATAAAGTGTTTATTTAGAGTGAGTATCTCACCACCCAAAACGGCATAATGCATGACAGTTCTAAAGTCATTGCGCGCGTCCGCCATCGCGTTGACGTCCGCGCCGTAGCTGATGAGGAGCAGCACTGACTCTATACCCTGGAATATAAGAGGAGAACTTATATTGTATTCAGCCCTTTTTAACGTCCCCCTGCTGGGCACGGGCCCCTTCAGTACGAGGGGGATCAGACCATAGTCCACCACGCTGGCCAAGTGCAGGCTTATTTCACGTGCCTTCCGAAAACTTGCTGGGCTCTCTCAGACATGCAGGTTTTACGATGTTTTCCTTCACCATAAGACAAGTGTAGGAAAGAATTCGCAAATAAAAATATCAGAGGTGCGTGTCCCGGGATTTGAACCCGCTTCAATCGGTTTTTCAAGCAAGCGCGTTATGTCTGGGCTACCGCTGTCTACAGAGGAATAATATGTTGCATTTCCAAGATTATGCCATAATATGTGTACAAGATTTCATCCAAATCCGTCCAGCCATTTCAGGGTGAAAGAGTAATAAATATACAGACATACAAAATTCTGAATTTATAATATAGGAATCTAATATGCTTAGCAACAAAATACCTTTCTCTGTCGAGCAGCTTTCATCAAAGGAGTGAGACCAGCTCTATCCCTGGAGTCAGGGTTAGCACCGAACATGAGCAGCAGTTCCAAGTACTCAGGGTCGGAGACCAGGTTGATCTCTGAACCGAAGAAGTATCGTTTGTTTGGATCAGCACCATGTTCCAAGAGGAGACGCGCAACATCCTGAAACGATTAAAGCAATAATTAAGAATATACATCACTACATATTATAAAATAAAGTCCCCCGCCGCGTCTGTCTGTCTATCTGAAAGCGATAACTCAAAAAGTACCCAACGGGTTTTCTTATGGTTTTCAACAATACATGGAGTGATTCATAAGGAAGGTTTATGTATATAATTCATTAAGGTTTTGTGTAAATTGGCTAAAATATGAGGATGATTGTTAACAAAATCATGCCGACTGGTCTTCTAAAAAGCAAGTCCCGAATTTTTGATAATACTTACATAATGTTTGTTTCTTATGGCAAGTCTCAACGGTTCATCGCAGAGAGTAGTGCGGGGGAATTCTTCACCAGTGTCCACTCGGTAATCGACCGCTGCACCACTCTCTAAGAGCAACTTCACAAGCTCCGTGTATCTGTGACATAAATTCCAAATATACAATCTATATGACGACACGTTTGGCTCAGTTTGTAATGACTCTACTTGGTGTACCAGCGGTCGCGGGTCAAGTCTCGCTGGGGGCGTTCATTTGTCTGTTGAGCACGAATGTTTGACTCCAGTCATGGGTGTTTATATTTATAATATATATGTATATATATATATATATATATATATATATATATATATATAAATATGTTGTGTATCAACTATCTGGTATCCATAACACGAGCCTCGTAGCTTACCATGGAACTAGATGCTGTTATGTGTATTAATGTCCCAACATATTTATTTATATCAGCCTTCTATTATAATTGCGAAAGCTTGTATGTGTGTATGTTTGTTATTCTCTCACATTACGGCTGGACGGATTTGAATGAAGTTTAGTGAAACGATAGATCATGACGTGGAGTAACACAGGTTACTTTTGAGGTTAGTTTTACGTTATTAAAGACACGTCCGAGCACAAGTAGAGTCAGTTGCTAGTATATGTATAAAGATAATAACCCATGTTCAGCGGACAAATGTAAAGCACTATATCCACAATCGTCCGTGGCATTGATATCACATCCTCGGACTAGCAGCAAGCGAGTGGCTTCCAGGTGGCGTTGCCAGATCGCGTAGTGAAGAGGACGGAGACCTTGAGTTACTGGCTCGTTGACCTGACGAGAAAAAACCTTTTTAGGGCATTTTAAATTCAAATTTTGTGTATATTTTGACTGATTCTGTCCGAATCGAAATCCATTCCACTAGAAGCCATTAAAATCATTGCTGAATGCATCGTACTTTTTTTAAATACGTATTTAAAATATCTAAAGTTTAGTTTTGGAGAATTATTGAGTAGTTTTAAATAGTTGTGACTGTAATAGAATAAATTTGTTAAATTTAAATTCATGGGAGGGAAGTTCAAAATTAATTATACCAGTAAATATAACAAAATTATTCTTAGCTGCTAGAGAGAATGCAGAAGAAGAAATATAAGAATGCTAGCCACATTCTCCCGCTGAATGGCAAAGCAGATTCTTTAAGCGAAAAATTATATTATATTTAGTCCATATTTAAATCTAATAAAACTAAAAGGATTTACAGACCTTAGCTCCACAAGCCAATAAAATGCGTATCTCGTCCAGCGGAACCATACGGATGATGGAGTCCGCCAGCTCACGCTGCAGGGATTTGTCTGCTATCACCTCAGATGGCATGGTTACTGAAATAGAAAATAAGAGATAAAATTCAAAATTTTAATTGCGCATTATACGAGAAACACATGGCCAGCGTGATGGACTATGGCCTGATCCTCCTCGTATTGAAGGGAGAGTGAGGCTTTAAAAAGGGCTGAAATGATAAACGTCATTAAGTTTACCACCAGCTTGGAAAAATATTGCATCAGTCTTAAAAACTTTTTTTTACATAATTTTTTTTTTATATAAAGGAATATACTCTTTGGCGATTTAAAAAAGCGTGTGCAAGTTTAGTTACTTAAATAAAATATATTGTTGATTTTGTTTATTGAGATTTCATAACATGACCACGTGTTGACTAAATAATAAGACGACAACAAATTAAACTGCGTTACATTTGTAATTTTTAATAATAGCATCATCTCCTCGACACTCGTGATATCATGGCGATGTCACCGTCGAACTTATGTCGTGTTCTGATATTACATAAGTTTTTTTTGTAGTACATTTTTTGGGAACTGTAAATAAATAATAAATAAATGTTGGGACATTAACACACAACGCCATCTAGTTCCATGGTAAGCTACGAGGCTTGTGTTATGGATACCAGATAGTTAATACACTACACATATATAACTTTAAATACATACATATTATAAATATAAACACCCATGACAGTACAAACATTCGTGCTCATCACACAAACGAATGCCCCCAGCGAGACTCGAACCCGCGACCGCTGACACAGCAAGGGTCACTGCACACTGAGCCAAACGTGTCGTCAAAACTGTATGTTATTTATACTTATTAAACACCTTTAAATTAATTTTTTATTGAATAAATTTATATTTCCATATTAACTTTATTTTTTTAAATACTTAGGTTCTCTTCTAAGCCGGCCTTGGAACTGTCTATAAGGCATAATCTCAAAATGCTAAAAAGACCTACGAGTACTTCAGCTCAAGCTCGTGAAACTTCATATATAAAAAAAAGCTATTAATTGGTTTTCGCAATTCCGAATAAAGGAAAACTACTGAAATCTTGTTTGGAGTGCCTCAGCAAAATTTTACTAATGTTACGAGTATAAATGTGAAAGTTTAGATCGATGTTTGAATGTTTGTTACTCACGCCAGAACGGCTAAACGGATCTGGATGACATCTGGCACAGATGTACATTATAGTCTGGAATAGTACATAGTTACTTTTTATCCCGGAAAATGTGCGTTTCCCGTGGGATAGATTTGTTATTAGATGAATAAAATAATTACTTCCGTTACTATTTTGTTTTTAGTCATAAGAAATAATATAATTATGTTCGATATAGTAATTTAATGTATCCCACACTCATCAAAAATCTAAATATACTTTATTCAAATAGATAAGGACTTTTGAATGGTTTCATACATCCACATTACTATTTAGACCATTCTTACTACCTACTGGTTAAAAAAAGATTCCAATTTTTACTTTAAGTTTTTATTTCTTTTAATTTAAATATATTTATGATACAATTTATCCCAAACGTGTTGCAAATCTGTAGAACTAATCCCTAGAAATAAATCTGATGGAACGTGAACATAAATTTCAATTATCATTTAAATATATTAGGTATATGTATATAGTTGCGCACGCGCAGCAATTGTGTGTTGCCAAAAACGTTGACTTTGATTCACAGTACAGACGTTATGTCTCACGTGCCGTCGCGTCGCTAACACGATGGTAATAACAACTTTCATCTCTTCGAGGCAAAGGAACTATGAAACTTTTTTATGGTTCCGCAAGTAAAGGGAAAAATGAAACCTTATAGAATCATTTTAAATAAAACTATCTTTTCGGATTTTTTCGCGGATTTATTTTGTTTTTTGGTTCCCGACGTTTCGAATGCTTTACAGCAATCATGGTCACGGGAGAGACTGAGGTTATAGACGTCTCAAACACATACTATTTTACAAAAATTCAAAAAATGGCATAAAGTACCATACAATAATTGTTGATTTTTATTTCTACACATTTAAAAAAATATATTAATATTAAATATTAATATTAAATTAATATTCAGGCAAATCTGCAATCATTTGGAAGTTGAAATTGGAGACAAAAATCAAACTTCTAAGTCAACGCAGTCCAAAGACATGGACGGTTATGTCGCATATTTTGACTCTCGTAAGAGAATCAAAGCCTATAGGATACTTTCAATATACAATGTTTTATAGACAAGAAAAGGGAAAAATCTGTAAACTGAAATATTGGTGTACGAGTCAGACTCGCATTTGTCCAATTTTTTTTATTACTACTTCCTTATCTAAATAAAACATGAAGGAGGTGAAATGAAAATATGAGTCTTATGTTTTTGCTGCTGTAGACATTAAGTTGAGTTATACTGTTATATATTGTGGTATATTATATTTATAGATATTATAGAGTTATATTTTAAAACGAAAATCAAGGCAAGCGGGAGTGGGAATATTATACATGCAAAAGACACCCAGTGGTACAACACGGGTAGACTACAAAGTGCAAATAGTATTTATTTAAAACCTGTCTATTATAGGCCTACTTTTAGATATTACAGCATTAAACGAGTTAAAAACTGTATCTCCAGTAAAAATAGTATTTATTTTACTCGTATATCTATTAACTACGCCTTTTACCTGCGATGAAAGACGAAGTTAAAAAATGGCAACAAAAGTGGCCCAAATCCAACGCGTGAAGCCAACGCGTGTGACATCACGCTCAAAACAAAAGGTAAGATTGAACCCACGTTACGTTATTTCTAGTTATATCTTTGACGTAGAACTGACGAAATTACTGTTGAAATAAGAACCTAATTTAGGAGAATTCCCCGCCACCATCTTCTTTTGTAGATAAACTTAATTTTTTTAACTAATTCTCATGTATACTCTACCTGTGACATATTTATAAGTGGATACTTTGCTGATGTGTAAATATTTTAGTTTGTAATTATTTTTATGAATTACTTCCCTGTTTGTTTCCCAAAAATAAATATATTTTTTTCCTGGCAACACTTTCACTCATCGTTTTTAAACTTTTTTTTTATGTATGCTAATATTTTATTACTAAAATTTAGATTATATAACATAAAATAAATTAACAAAAAATAGTTTATTAAGATGTTTTTATGGCTACATATGATTTGAACTTGACTTCTTTTTCAAATTAATCTAAATTACTCCACAATAAAAATTGGATAAAAGGGACTTTAAGCATGGCTCTACAATCTAGATCCTTGCATTTAATTGCGAATTGAATTGCGATTAATATCAGGTTTTAATGTTTTGCTAGGATCTTTGTTTACCCTAACTGACAGCTTGTCAATATTTCAATTTTATGAGTGATTTATAAAAACCTTCTGGATTTCGACAACAGCGTTATCCACCAACTATAGCTCAAAACCATTCCATAAATGCATAAAACAATTCATCAAAATCGGTCAAGCCGTTTAGGAGAAAATTTTTATATATATTTACATTGTACATATATCAATAAGATGTTATCCCAACTTACTACTATTTCGATGCCTAAGTATTGTGCAATAATATGTATAAATGAGAGTTGTTTTTTTTATTAGTTTGTTTACCCTTATTTTACGTTACAAAGCAGATTTTATACATGAAATGTTATGACAAAGAGACGTGACTGAAGAGACAAATTCAAAAATGTTTAATGTTTAAATATTTTTTTTTATTGAACATCATAAATCTACCAGAAGTCCTTCTGGATAAGAGAAAGCGGCGAAAGAAAATCAGCAAGTCTAAAATTATTTCAGGCTTCAGGATATCACATCTTTCTCGATCTCGGAGCAAATACAGAAAGAAAGAAAAAGCGGTATGTTAGTTTATTTAGATATAGTCTGTATTAAATATGTGCACAAAAAGATGGTCCAAATTGTTCACATGTTAACCCTGAAGATTACAAAGCGAAATTCATAATTTATTCTTTTACTAGCGTTTCACCCTCGCTATGATTCACCATACAAACTTTTATCCCCATTTTCACCTCCTTAAGGGATGATTTCCGGGATAAAAATTATCCTTTGTCTTTCCCAGGGTCTCAAACTATCTTCCCATCAAATTCGTCTAAATCGGTTCAGTAGTTTCGGAGCCTATTCAGTACAAACAAACCAAAAATCTAATCTTTCCTCTTTATAATATAGATTTAATAAAATTTTATCTCAAGAAAGATCTGCCAGCAGTTTCCTAGAAAGGTCTAAAGTTCGGGAAACCCAAACTAATTACAATACGTCTCTCCAAATTGGATGAAATCCAACCATTTTTAAAGAATCGCAAGTTTCAAAGAACTTTAAAGCATTTTGTTCATACGAGAGATCATTTTATTTTGGTGGAACAGGCCAATCACCTTGACTGCTATTTTGGTTAGATGGCGCCACGTGCGTATGTTTACAAGACAAATGTTTTTGTTTTGTATTTATTATGCGTTCTAAATATTAGGAAAGCTTTGTCTATCTCGTGACGAGCGTTTACATTTTTACATCACGCTGTTTATTTTGCACTTTTACAGTGGCTTGTAATTTTCTGTTTCAGTTTCAACAGACATGACTGCCCCAAAACGAGCGAAGGTTTTGGAGTTCATATACTCGTATGTATATTTTTGGCACGTTATTTAGTTTGAAAGGTTCACGGTTAAATAAGTTTTGATTGTAAGATGCCTATTGTATCCTTTATAATGCGAGTTTGTGAGGATGTATGGATGTTTGTTACTGTTTCACGCAAAAACTACTGAATGGATTTTGATGAAACTTTACAATAATATAGCTCATACATCAGAATAGCACTTAGGCTATTTTTTATCTCGTAGGTATAGTCAATATAAGCATTCACATCGAAATTTCACGCTCTTGAACCCAATCCTACTACTATTATAAACACGAAAGTTTGTAAAAATGTATGTATGGATGTATGTTTGTCACTCTTTCACGCAAAAACTACTGAATGGATTTTGATGAAACTTTAGAATAATATAGCTCACACATCAGAATAACACATAGACTACTTTTTATCCCGGTAAAATATACGGTTCCCGTGGGATAGATTTGTTTTTGTTATTCTAGAGGCGAACTTGAGCGAAGCGAGGGTGAGCCGCTAGTCTATACTAATAATATAAAGAGGTAAAGTTTGTGAGTTTGTGACATTGTAGGGGGTAATCTCTGGATCTACTGCACCGATTTAGATGAAATTTGGTAAGAAGATAGTTTGAGACCCTGGGAAGGACATAGGATACTTTTTATCTCGAAAATCATCCTTTAAGGGGGTGAAAATGGGGATAAAAGTTTGTATGAGGAATCAAGCTAGGGACGAACCCGAACGAAGCGAGTGTGAGTCGCTATTATCTATAATTTATTAACTAAAATATTTTTAAGACCATATTACCTGCTATTAGTATTTAGATATCCTTAATACAGAACATCAGTCTGGTACATATTTTATCATCTGTAAATACTTTGAGATATACTTACTAGTGGTAACAAAAGATCGAATTGAATTGCCAATTGAGAAAGTATTAGCCGCCAATAGACTTACGAGTACCTACCTACAAGGGAGAAATTTATAAATGTAGGAAATATTTTCTTATACGGTTAAAATAGTAGTTCTCTAAAAACCAGATATAAAGTACAGAGATGATGTGTGTTTTGGTTATTTATACTGGGCGCTGTTAGACTGGAAAATGGTAAAATGTAAAATTAAATCTGAACTACATTCGCATTATTAACAGACTTCCAAAACGGAGGAGATTTCATGAATTATGTATGTTTTTTCTATGGCGGAAAATATAAATGAATATTTTATTTATCTAATTTAGAAATTGAAATAATTATATATTAAAAGATAACCTGTTGAGAATATAATTTCACTTATTAATTATTGTGTTACATCTTGATATTATAATTAAACATTACAAGCATCAATATCCGTCAACAATACGTACAAAACACAAAGTTTATTGTACATTTTGGATACAGATTTAATTTTGACGTCAACACAAGGTTATATCGGACGTCGGCCGTCTGTTGAGGTTGCCAATCGGATGACAGTTGCTATAGCAACGTGGGATGTTTAATAATAAATACGTATGGAGTAACCTTGAAATAACGTTTTAACAAATTTTCTGCTTATAAATAAATATAAATTATTGCTTGCGTGTATTTCTACAGCAAACTAAGGAAGCGGAAGATTTTGTTTATTTTGAGTTATAGGTTGAACGTTGTTATAATTTAAAATTATCCTACATTGACAAAGATATAAGCGATATAACATCATGATCTTAAGTAGCGGAGTATTCGTTGCCTGTATATAATATGTTCTAAGTACAATTCTGTCCACAATAATAGTAATCATTATTGTGGACAGAAATGTACTTAGAAGCTATTCATACAAAAATCGCCAAAATTTTATATGCCAGTAGGAAATGTGCCTCGAGGTTCCATTTTCTATTTCAAGACGAATTTTGAGTATATTTTATACTTAATATGTTTTTACATTGAAAAGTACACAATCTATATAATAATAATAATAATATTTAATATATAATAATAATAATATTTAATATTACATTTTCAGGAACCTGCGGCCTAAAAGTGCCATATATAGGTATTATCACATTATCTACAATGACCTTACATTAATCAATTGAATTTAATATTGTGTCAAACAATGTTAGAAACATTTAAGCAGCAATGTAAAGCGGCAAAGCAAAATAAATCCTAAAAAACGATCAACAAGAAATCTCCGCGCATAAAATGGCCGCCAAAACAAAATGGAGTCCAAAAATAGCGCGGCTATTGACCGAAACCTTGACACTAAACGTTTACGTTTTATGCGAATTAGTTTTTCAGGTCGTTTTAAAACGCAATAATGTTTTTAGGATTTTATATCTCGCAATTTTTTACACTTTATTGTTTTTAAATTATAATTATAAAAGTTTCATTAGCAATTTAATAGTTAAAGTAAAAATTCTACTTATTTTGTTATTTATCTACATTTTAAAATACTTTATTGGTCTAGTTAGCATGCAAATCCCCACCGGATTTCCTGGGTTCAAGTCAAGTCAAAGTAGGTAAAGCCGTGAGTCCTCCTAATCTCTTAGCACAAGTTTCAAATTATGATATTTAAGCTCTTTCAATGCTGGACACTAGCCTCCGTTTAATGGATATAGTCCACGAGTTCTGAATGTCAATTTGCTGAATTTTGCGAAAACTAATAATTAAGCAATCTCAGACTGTTGCTTCTGTATATGATTAATACATTGTTCTTTTTAATATTTCTACTAAAATGGCTAACTTGTACGAATAATACCTATTCATACGTGTTTTGGTCCTACATAATCAGACATAAATTAAGTTGTTATCATAGAGTCAGTTTATTACAATCAATCATAGGTCAAGCAAAATTCGTGTTATCTTTCTGGAATGATACCGATTCACTCAGCACTACTCCGGATTCGAAGACGTACCTGGGAATGAAACCGAAGATAATAATATTGTCCTCCTGACCAATTTCAGCCATGGTGGCCAATCTTACAGAGACTAACCAGATGCGCAGGAGATATTCTAATGCACAAGTGTACGCACAGACACAACTCTATTCCTTTTTCTTTCAAAGTCCGATGGGACGATACCTGAACTCGACCGGTGAGAGTTAGGCGCAGGACCGTAGCGACACCTGCTCTGCCTCGGTACGGGGGTGAAACATTGCCAACTTCCCTACTCCGGGCTCTGAATTTGGCCCGTGCCGGGACTCGAACCCGAGTCCTCCGGATCTGCAGCTGTACACGCTAGCCACTAAACCACCGATATCACACCGACCTAGATATAACAGACAGCCAATAACAAATGTATGGCAGCAGTATCAATAATCTATCAACGCAGAAATTGCGCGTAGGTGCCTGTTTATACGCGATTGCGCATTCAATTCGACCGAAATATCTATTTACAAAATGAATGAAGTTGTGAGATACGCATTTGTTTATTAAAGTCCATGCTTGTTTTATTGTTGAGGTAAAGGAGGTTTAATTTCAAGAAAATATATTTAGAAGCTCTTTTCCATTTGTCTGTATAGGATCTTCTATTTGATCTATTAGTAATCTATACATATAATAAAATAACTGATCGCAATCTTCACATGGAAGATATTTGTGAAAAACTATTATTGGGGGTCTTTATTAACGCAATAGAACCCAAAACAATGGTTTTTAGATTTTTTGTCTGTTTGTCTGTGTGTTTGTGCGCGCTAATCTCAGAAACGGTTAAACTGATTTGGGTGTATTGTTATATTTCAATTGGTTCATAAATAAAAAAGTTTTGTCAATTTAAAATATCACCTAGGAACAAATCCGACCTAAGCGAGGGTGAGTCGCTAGTAATTAAATACGACCTATGGTTTGTATTAGAGCACATGGAATAGAAGCTAGACGGTGACATCCAAAGTTGTATTATATATATTTCTGGAAATGTGTAGGATTAAGGAGGTAGGATTGAAACTATTAGGAAAGATTAAAAAATCAGGGGACTGGTCAAACTACATAAATATGTAAATATATTGGGACAATAACCCACAACACCATCTAGTTCCATGGTAAGCTACGAGGCCTGTGTTATCGGTACCAGATAGTTGATACACTACACATAATAATAACTTTAAATGCATACATATTATTATAAATATAAACACCCATGACTGGAGTACAAACATTCGTGCTCATCACACAAATGAAAGCACTCAGCGGGAATCGAGCCCGTGACCGCTGGCATAGCAAGTAGGCACCACAAACTGAGCCAAACGTGTAGTAGTGTGTAAAAGTAGCATATTATATCGTTTTTTGATTTGAGAGGAAGGGATGACTAGGGAAGTTTAATCACCGCGCCGACAATTTGGTGTTTGATAATATCGATATAAGCCGAAAATACGATAAATATACACAATTTTTAAGCATTTTGGTTGTACATGTATATATTCAGAATAATTATATTTTTTAAATAATAATTGTCCAAATCCACTTACTACCTGCCATAAATTGTATCTATTTGAAAACTATAAAAATAAAAATTTGTAAATTTACATAATAATATTAAGTAATATTATGTATTTGAATGTAGATCAGAACTTTTCCACGTAAATATTATATAATTAAAAAGCAGCCATTACTCACCTGAATTCATATATCCAAACTCCACACACTAGGATGAATGACACAATGCCTTTGTTTTTATTATAAAGGGCGCGCTTTTTCCCGCGCTGTCAAATTGACAATTGAAATACAAAGAATTAAATAACAATATTATATTTTGTTTTTACTTTGTATTTATTGTTATATTAATTTATAATTAAATATAAACGTGCGCTTAGTTTTGCGACTGAGTTTAAACTGTGATGCTTCTGGGGAAGCCACTGTTGGAGTGACGCCAACATGGATGGATGCCAAGTACGAAGTATGATGTTAGATAGGGCAGAAGGGTAAATTTCTGACCATTTAGTTATTAAGGATAAAATAGTATGTTATGGTAGCTTGAGCGTTTATATTGTAAGATAATTGAAATCAAAATTACATGTTTAATATAGGAGATAAACTGTCAGGAAGATATCAGATAGATTTATTTGCAATAAAAAAATACAAATATACTTAATTATATACAAAGTATACATAACAAGTGTACACTTAGTTATTACTCTACAAGTCATGTGGAATATTGGCACGAATGCTATATAGCCGCACTCCTCCGTTGAATGGCAATGCCGATTCTTTGGGCGAAAAATGCGCCAGCTCTCCTGTCACCAGTAGAGGCGGTAAGACGAGGTGTTATGTCTTTTAAGAAGTACTTACCATTTTGACTCCATAGGCCAAAGGGTTTCTACAGCAAATGGAATAAAAACATAATTTTGACTAAAGGAGGCGTACCTATTTATGTAACTTAAGTACTGCAGCCATTTCCGCTGCGGCTCCTACTTTAGCTTTAAGTATAGATACATATAAACAATAAATGTAGGTACTGCGCAATAACCAGAAATAGGGGTATTTGCCCTACATTTTGAAACGCACGTGAAACAACGCATTACGATCACCTTTACAAGAAAGTTCCCGACACTTAAAACATCAACAAAGAAAAGTTAAATTATAGAATAATGTATTTTTTTTCTTAAAAAAGAAAATATCTACTAAATACGTTTGACTTGGACTAAAAGAGATTTTCAACTAAACTAAAAAATTCTTTTGAAGACAAGTTTGGATCAGTTTGTCAAGTGACATTACTTGCTGTGCCGGCGGATGCGGGTTCGACTCCCGCTGGGGGCAATAATTTGTGTGTTGAGCGTGAATATTTGTACTCCAATCATGGAAATTGATTTAAAAATTCTTCCCTTAATGTAAAATCCATACTAATCTATACCAATATTATTAATTTGAAAGTTTATGCGGATGGATGGATGAGAGTTTGTTACTTAATCACGCCAGAACGGCTGAACAGATCTGGATGAAATTTGGCACAGCGATAGATTATAGTCTGGAATAGCACATAGGATTACACTAGGACTGCACATTATTTTTTATCTCGGTAAAATGTACATGTACCTATAGATTTATTTTTATCCAAAGCGAAGCGAGGTTGAGACGCTAGCATTATAAATGTAAAAGTAACTCTGTCTGTTATCTTTTCATGCTTAAAACACTGAACAGATTTCGATAAAATTTGGCAAGGGCATAGATTGCATCCTGGGGACAGACAAAAGCTACCCGTTATCCCCATCCCTCTTATCACGCAAAGGGAGCAGAGGGCTTTAGTCCTACTTACTTAGTTTTAACTAACTTAATATAAATTTTATGAAAAATTCCACCTCAAGTGGGTTGTATTTTTACAACTTAATCGATCGTATCGAACAAAATGTAGGTATATTTTTTCACATTTTTAATTCTTCTCACGCTTTGCTTAGGTAGATAGAAACAAAACTTTTTTCAGCTTACTGTCGTGAGCATCTAATGTGTCAATAATAACTGAGGATACACAATTGTCCATGTTTAAAAGATTTGATTGACACGGATATATTAGCCAGGATATGTTAACTCGGATATGTTACCCTGGATATGTTAGCACGGATATGCTAGCCCAGATTAATAAAGAAATTACATCCGACCCCAAACGATGACGACACGACTACGACATATCGTCCTGAGTAAGTTGGATTTAAATTCCGTTTAGCGGTGGAGATTAGCTTATTGAGGTGTTAGTGAAGGTTGTAAGTACACCGGGTAGCAAATTCTTAATTATTTTAGACTCACTACGCTTGTTTGCATCCCTTGGTGCCTAACAGTAGCCTATGTGTTACTCCATGTCTGGTCTATATGTGTACATACTAAATCTTATCCAAATCTGTCTAGCCGTTTCAAATTGAAGGAGTAACGAACATATAAACAAACTTTCGCATTTAATAGTCACATTTCTCAGCTTTACTTATAATTGCAAATGTTTGAATTCAATTTTTATCTTATTTTAATTGTCAAATCAATTTTTTTATATTATTCTATAGATCTGGTTGACAATACAATTTTTTTTAAACTTTAGCGCCGCCCCTGGGCAATGTAAGAAATGCCGCCCCATTGTAGAAATTTTTCATAAAATGGATAAGGTTTGGATAAAGTTCAATTTTTTAAGTTTTCATAAATGCAAAAAATATTTTTTTTTAATTATCATTTTTTTGGAAAATAAAAAAAAAACATTTTTGATAAAGCGATTTTTTTATCTATCATCAATTTCAGTTTTACAAGCATTTTAACCTCATATGATTGGTTTTAATGAGTCTTATCCATTACTGTTGTTCAAAAATATGTTCCAGCAGTAAATGGCATGCCCATTTAATAAAGAAACATGTTTGTGTGTTTGTTTGTTTCCATTACTTCTTCACTTTATAAAATGTCATTAAAAAATGAAATTCAGAATAATGAATGTCATAAATTGACACATAGGATTATAATTTTGACGACGCATGTGGCTCAGTTTGTAATGACCCTACTTGCTGTGCCAGCGGTCGTGGGTTCGAGTCCCGTTGGGGGCATTCATTTGTGTGATGAGCACGTATGTTTGTACTCCAGTCATGGGTGTTTATATTTATAATATATGTATTTAAAGTTATATATGTTTAGTGTATCAACTATCTGGTATCCAGAACACAAACCTCGTAGCTTACCATGGAACTACATGGTGTTGTGTGTTAATGTCCGAACATATTTATTTATTTATATTTATAATTACGTACTATGAGAAGCGGAAGGTCTAAAACTAAGTTAATAAATAAAATCTCTCAGTGTATTCCTTTAGCTAAGGAGTAAGGATGGATCTTGAGACGCCCTATAGCCTCAGTATTGGGGTAGCAGTCACAGACCACTCTACCCTCCAAACGACGCCTACTATCACTTAAGGTAAAATTAAACACATTAATGTGTTAGCAACTTTAGTTAGAATTAATTATATATATATATATATATATATATATATATATATATATATATATATATATATATATATATATATATATTTAATTGTAATTTGTAAGTAAGCTGTTGGTGCTATCTCTCTCTATTTTCCAAATCCATACTAATATTTTAAATGTGAAAGTGTGTATCTTTGTTTGTTTGTCTTTCTTTCACTTCGAAACGGAGTGATTGGCCTGATTTTTTGTGTGGAGATAGTCGGAGGGCTGATGAGTGACATAGGCTACTTTTTACTGCGGAAGATTATGTAATTCCCCCGAGAAAATATAATATAACACAACTCAAAAAAATGTTTGTGATCAGAATTACTTGAAAACAATTAAATAAATACGTGTTTTAACATTTTTCGAAATTCATCACATAAGGAGGTAAAATAGGGGATGAAAGTTTTTGTGAAACCTACCTTTTTAGAGTTTTTTTTTATAGTTTTAGCGCGAGCGAAGCCGCGCGTTCTGCTAGTTATTGTATAATTTGATTTTTTGTGGGTAGACCCATATGATATAACGTCAATTGTGTCATCAACATCTTAGTATCATTATAATTAAAATTTATCTCGATTTGGATTTTTGTATGTATGTATTTAGCCCTTTTTAACGTCTCACTGCTGGGAGTGGGCCTCCCTTTTTATACAAGGGAGATCAGACCATAGTCAACCACTCTGGACAATTATAAAAATAGTTAAAAATTAAAATTAACAAATATTGTAAGGTACTTTGGTGCCATGTTTATATTTTTTAAAAACACTGCACCTATAATTTTGTGGGTACGTGTTGTCTGTAACAACTGTATGATGACCTTTTACACATCTAAAATCTAAATCTCTCCCGTGACCATGATTGCTGTATAGCATTCGATACGTCGAGAATCAAGAATCAAAATAAATCCCCGAAAAAATGCAAAAAAGATAATTTTATTTTAAAATACTGCAAATAGCTTATATATATAGCTAAAAGAGCTTCTGACGTTGTAGGGGGTAATCTCTGGATCTACTGAACAGATTTAGATGAAATTTGATAAGAAGATAGTTTGGGACCCTGGGAAGGACATAGGATACTTTTTATCTCGAAAATCATCCCTTAAGTAATGGGGTGAAAATGGGGATAAAAGTTTGTATGGGGAATCAACCTATCAACGAGCGAAACGAGGGTGATTCGCTAGTATTTTATACATTTGAAATTTAACTCTGCTGTATTTTTAATCTTAAAATATTTTTATTTTAACTCAAGAGGTGCACGAACGTTAAAATCCCTTCAAAAATCGCCGTATACGGGACTTCCCCTTTCTAATATAATTGTGAAGAAAGGTTCAAAATGGCGAAGATATCACGTAACATACGTAAACACAGAAAATAAACACCTAAATCGAGTGCGTTATATTTGATACTTAAAACGAAAGAATAAAAAGCAGTTTCAAGGATCCTAGAAAAAACTCTTTATATGGAATTTGTTAAACTAAAGACTTTGTTTTATAATTTATAAAAAAAACTAGCAGAACCCGCGGCTTCGCTCGCGCTAAAACTGTAAAAAATCTCTAAAAAGGTAGTTTCATACAAACTTTCATTCCCTATTTTACCCCCTTATAGGATGTTCCCCTTATATGTAAGTTTCAAGTAATTCTATCATAAATATTTTTTGGATTGCATTATAACGTGTTTTCCCGTGGGAATTAGATAATCTCCCGCGGTAAAGTAGCCAATGTTACTCTTCAGTCCTCCAACTATCTCCACACAAAAAATCACGCCAATAAGATAAAATACTCCGTTCCGACGTGAAAGAAGGACAAACAAAGAAGCACACTTTCACATTTATAATATTAGCATGGATATCGGAAGAAACAATTTTTTCAGACTTAATTCACAAATATCTTAGCCGCAGCCTACTCTTGCAAAATTCTCGTATATATACATATATAGCCTATGTCTAACTTTTATAGATAATACATCTTCCTATTAATAAAAACCGTTTGAGACATTGAGAACAAAAAATCAAAATAAAGCCACGAAAATATCCGAAATATACGACAATTTAAATAGTTTTATTTAAAACTAGCATTGCCCGCGGCTCCGCCCGCGTTCAGATGACCAAAAACCAAATTCTTAGGTTAGTTTTACATATTAGTATACTCTAACATTGCAGGTTTTGTATTTTTTCTCAGAAATAAGATATTTTCCCGCAGTAAAAAGTATCCTATATGTTGATCCGTATAACCAGCTATCACAATACCAAATTTCATCAAAATCCCTCCAGTGGTTCTTATGTGATGCGGTAACAGACAGACAGACAAAATTCTAAAAACAATAGTTTCGGCCTCTGTATCGATAATAATGTTCATTTCAATAAGATTTTCCAAAAAATATTTATTTTACAGATTTGGCTTTGTCACAATTTTATTATATGTATAGATGTTAAATAATCGCGTAATCTAAGGAAGTATTACATTTACGTCAACTTTCAGATGGTTTACACTCGTCCTTCATCTTTGCCAATACCAACTATCTGGCATAGATTCACTACCAGGGGAACGAAACTACGAGTCCAGGATATGACAGAAGATCAGGTGGAACCTGCTGTCCAGCTCCTGGCTAAATATTTTATGGCTGATGAGCCCCCTTGCAAGTATATAGGTATATTATTTATAAATAAATATAAATATATCGTGACATTAACACAGCAGCATCTAGTTCCATGGTAAGCTAAGAGGCTTGTGTTATGGATACCAGATAGTTGATACACTACACATATATAACTTTATATACGTACATATTATAAATATAAACACCCATGACTGGAGTACAAACATTCGTGCTCATCATACAAATGGATGCCCGCAGCGGGACTCAAACTCGCGACCGCTGGTACAGCAAGTAGGGTCACTACAAACTTGAGATCTGACTGGCAATTCAGCCGGGCGCGAAGCCAAGAAACGCACTGGGAGGTAGCCCACTTTGTCGTCGGGGCGTTGGTTGAGTGCGTAAGCGATCCTGCGACGCCCCATTGAGACGGGGGAGGTTCTGTTTGGTTTTAGTGGGTAGTAGTGAAATTTGACGAGGACATATATTACATCATGGGAATGGGGCTAGCTTTAATCCCACCAAATAATCGATACATATAATAAAATTGTAACTAAGCCGAATCTGTACATTAGATATTTTTTGGAAAATCTTATTGGAATAGACATTATTATCGATACAGCGGATAAATCTATAGTTTTTAGAATTTTTCTCTGTTTATGTGTTATTGCATCACTGAAAAACCACTGCAGGGATTCTGATGAAATTTAGTATGATGGTAGCTGGTTATCCGGGTCAACATATAGGATACTTTTTACTGCGGGAAAATATCTCATTTCTGAGAAAAAATACCAAAACTGCATTGTAAGAATATACTAATATGTAAAACCTAAGAATTTGGTTTTTGGTCTCTGAACGCGGGCGGAGCCGCGGGCAATGCTAGTTATTTAATTAGTTATATATGTAATGTGTACGTCTTCGAATGCATCAGGAGTATGAGGAAACATAGCCGGACATACATTCAATCATACCTTATATATACAAGCCAAACATATAACCCCTTTTTTACTTCGCCGCAGTCGGGTAAAATAGAACGTGTAAGCCCATCTCGTACTAGGATTTTTGTTTTATTTTTTTACTTACGTTTTAACGTTTAGTATAGATTTCTCAGAAATGAGATATTTTCCCGCAGTAAAAAGTATCCTATATGTTGACCTGGATAACCAGCTATCACCATACCACATTTCATCAAAATCCCTCCAGTGATTTTTCCGTAATGCGGTGACAGACAGACAGACAAAAATTCTAAAAACTATAGAGTCGGCCTCTGTATCGATAATAATATCTATTTCCATAAGATTTTTAAAAGAATATTTAATGTACAGATTCGACTTAGAATTTTATTATATGTATAGATATAGTGTACGGAACCATAGGAACGCGAAATAGACTCGCGCTTAATATTTTTATTTTTTTTATATAGAAATACACAAATATCCATCTGCTCAAGCGGAACTAGAGAAGCTATGGCGAGATACTATCAAAGATAAATTGTCGATAGTTTGTGTGGAAGACACAGACAGACCTACAGACATCATTGGTGTGAATATCCTAACTGTTGCTAGTAAACATGACAAAGAAGAAATATTTAAGGTGAGTGTAGTAATATATATATATATATATATATATATATATATATATATATATATATATATATATATATATATATATGTATATATATATATATAAATTTTAGGATTCAGTACAGAAAGGTTCCAAAATGGAACCGATTTTTCAGTTTAGACCTAGGGAGGTGTGACCATCAAATATTTTTAACCTATTTATAAAGAAAGAAAGTTTTCAATATTGTCGCTAATATGTAATTATTTATTTTCAATCAGATTACTTTTAGAAATGTATAAGTTTGTATGTGCGTGTGTGTATGTTTGTTACTTTTTAATACTAATTTGGATGAAATTTAGATCACTAATAAATATAGGTTTTCTTTCAGTCAGAAGATAAAATCTGGGCAAAACTCTTCGGCGCGGTGGACCTAGTCTCGCGTAGTGTAGACGTGTATAGCAGGTTCGATGTCGAGCAGTACCTCACTGCATATGGACTGGTTGTAGATCCGAAATGGCGGGGACGTGGGATTGGAAAAGAGATATTATTAGCTAGGTAAGTTATATAAGTTTGTTTTTATGAGATAGGTACTTTTAACTAGAGGATCGCAGGTTTGTTTCCCACTTGGAGTATATTTTCTAAGTTCAATTCAAAATTCCTCATTCAATATTGGTAGATATTTCAAAAATACATTTATTATTTATCAAAATTTTTACCAGCACTTCTGATAAAATGCCTGAGTAGAATTGCTAAAAGAAACTTAGCGACAATATCTTTGTTTTTATAACTTCTTTATGTTAAGACACATTTATTATAATAACATTTTTATCTTCTTTATAATATATAAAGAAGAAAAACCTACCTCCTACAACGTCACAAACTCACAATTCTCAAACTTTAATTCTTTATAATATTAGTATAGAGGATATACATGAAAAGTATTTAATATTATAAGATTTGCCCAAGTCTAAAAAACACATTTAATTTACTCATCTATCGTTAATAGCCTAGTTAAAATTTATATTTATAATTCTTTTATTTATAATAGACCAAAACATATATTTACATCATTAATCGAACCCGCGATCTCCGATATAAACACTGAACCACACGGTCTTAATAATAAAATTTCAATAAACTCGCCAATGAGATTCCATTGTGGTGGAAATGAAGGAGATCCGTCGTAAGAATGTTGGGACTTCAACGCCCGCCTATTTAGGTTATCATTCCTTGGATAAATCGATGTCTAGATGAGCATTCTATATTATATATATGCTAGCTTATGTCTTCATGCCTGTAGTTTGGCGAATTTGAAAAGTTTTATTATTTTGCATAGTCTATAAATATATACATATAATAAAATTGTAACTAAGCTGAATCTGTACATTAAATATTTTTGGAAGATCTTATTGAAATAAGCATTATTATCGATACAGAGGTCGACTATATAGTTTTAGAACTTTTGTCTGTCTGTCTGTTACCGTATCACACGAAAACCACTGGAGGGATTTCGATGAAATTTGGTAGGGTCAACATATAGGATACTTTTTACCCAGGGAAAATAACTCATTTCTGAGAAAAAATATAAAAACTGCAATATAAGAGTATACTAATATGTAAAACCTAAGAATTTGGTTTTTGGTTATCTGAACGCGGGCGGAGCCGCGGGCAATGCTAGTCTTATTTAAGAATACAAGTTTGGTATTCCTACAGTTATTACATATTTTACAATGTGAGTTTTTTAAGTATATTTATGTTATATTTTTTATAAACTTATATTTACTTTTTTTGATGACGAAACATAGTGTTTGATGGTAAAAAAAATTACTAACTTACATTTTTCGAAAAATTGAAACCATTTTTTAATTATTTCTTTGCATTTTTCAAAAAAAATAATAATTAACAAAAATTTAAACTTTCAACATTTTATTCAAAATTTCGATAATAGGGCGGCATGTTTTACTATGCTCAGGGGCGGCGTTAATGTTAAATCCGGCACTGACTCTAGGATTAGGTGATAGTATATCTACGTGTTCTAAATTTCATCAAAAATTGTCCAGCCGTTTTAAAGCCAAGAAGTAACAAACATACAAAATTTTCACATATATTATTATATTATATAATTATAGTCATATTATGTAAACTATGTTTTAAATTTATAAATTATTTAATTCTGTGGCATAAAATAAAGAAAAATAAGTAGTGAATAAAAAGATCAAAGATTTTTAAAGTTTAAAAAGTTTATTGTTTATTTAAAAATGGCAACTTTACTGACAATGTCAATTTCGTCATTTCTTAAATTATTTTATTAATAGTTATTTAAACTTGTTTATGTGCTAACATATTGTGATTGTTGTAATACCTTTTAGAGTGGTTTTTGCATTACAAGCTATTATTAGAAAAATAATATGTGTTTTAAATTAATTTGATCAAAAATTTTCTTTACCAGTCAGAATTGAAAGGAGAAATTAATAGATATTATATAAAATCATATTTAAAAAAAAATATCATGATAAAGCCCCCACGCAAAAAGAAATGCATATGCAATAAAATTGAACTATTAAAACAGATAACTGGCGAACCCAAACCTTTGGAAGTTACTGAAATAAACAAAATTCGCCTAAATCTATTCACTGAAAGAAATTCAGATGGCACTTGCAATTTAGTACTCAAAGGCAAAGACATTTACGACAGATACCAAAAACGTATAGCTGACAAAGATGTTAGAGCAATCTGTTTGTATATAAAAGAGAATCCGAAAAGAATTACTAAATTAGACTTAAGTTACAACGATCTGACTGATTCAGGATTCTTTAAGCTACTTAAAAAGATACTTATTAAAGGACGATCGAGTGTAATCAATTTAAATATAATGAATAACAACTTAACTAACACAACAGTTGAAAATTTGGCAAAATACGCCAAATTCATCAAATTAAAGTATCTTAGAATTAATGGAAACGATTTTAGTGAAGATAATGGTGGTTTTATGGCAAAATTTCTCATAGATAATGAAAGCGTACAATTTTTAGATATAGGAGAGACTGGTCAAACTTTAACCAGCGTGGCAAAAATTGTAGCAGTTTTAGGAGATAATTTAGATGGAAATAGTACTTTAAAGGTGTTAGATTTCAGCCGAATTATACCACTATTTAATAGATATTCATATGAAACTAAATGGCTTGCCTATCACATCGAGAATTTGCTAACAAAAAATAAAACAATCGTAGAGATACATTTACAAAAGAATGAGTTTATAGGACATGATATGGAGTTTATAGTACGAGGTCTAAAATGCAATGACACATTACTATATTTAGATTTAGGCTATAACAAAATTGGAGATTATGGCGCTGAATTAATCAGTAAATATTTAAAAGAAAAACCTGAACTTATTTTGATAAACTTAGCTGGTAATAGCATCGGTGATACTGGAGCAAGAGCTTTAAGCTTCGGGTTGCCGTATTCGAAAATTCGCGCGCTGGATATTTCTAATAACAAAATAACAGATGATGGTATCTTAGACATATTGAATACGTTAAAAAAGTTTTATTATTTGCGTTTTTTGAACATTTGGGGGAATAAAATTGGGCATGACAGTTGTGTGGTGATTCAAAGAATGCTAATCAGTGGAGCTTTGTTCCAACATACTATTGACGTGAAAGTGTATGAAGTGGATGAAGTTTTGCACGCTGCCTATTATCCAAATCCCGCAGATAGAAATAAGCATTTGTATTATAATGAAATGGACTTTGGTTACGCGCAGCCAATTTACCATATCAAAAGAAATGTGTTGCCAGAAAAGAGAAATGTCAAAGTTGACTGCAAACAGCGGCACAAGCTCGATAAAACGGATAAATGCAGATTTTGAGTTCATGTTATTGTATTTGATACATATATTTTAATTATTATTGGGTCTGTGTATGTTTTAATAAATTAAAATTTATTACTTATTAGGATTTTAATTATTAGTTTATTAAAGTAATTTAGAAAAATTTTTTTTTTTAATTGTAAGTCAATATAAGTATTTAACCTTTAGTTTGTATATTTTGTTGCCACCAAATAAAAATTCATCATTATTATTCCCATATTCATAATCCAAGCAGTTGATAAAAAATTAAATTAAATTAAAAAAATACTTGATTCAAAACTAAAAATTTCAAGTACAAGATGATCGATCTTAAAATCTTACGATGAAAATTGTTCTTCATTAATTTTTTTTTATGTAAAAAAAATCACTTTCTAACATTAAGTAAAAAGCATTTTATATAATATCTAAACGGCGTTCGTTCTTTCGCTTGTTTGTTTATTTGTTTGAACGCGCTAATCTCAGGAACTATTAATCTCATTTAAAAAAAAACTTTTTGCATTAGATAGCCCGTTTTTTGTGGATGGCTATAGGCTTTATATCACCATGCTACCCAAGAAACAGTGGCGTAACAGTAATATAATATATAGTTTATATATCTATTCCATACTAATCGTTAAAACGTACGTTGTAGGGGGTAACATCTGGATCTACTGAACCGATTTAGATGAAATTTGATAAGAAGATAGTTTGAGCCCCTGGGAAGGACATAGGATACTTTTTATCTATGTCTGAAGAGCTACAATGGACCAAAACTGGTCGACGTAGCTAGGGCCGACTTCGGCACCACACCCAACACTAATAATAAATAATATCTATGTCTGTCTCCGACTGCATAATACTGTTCCTTCGTCAACTTATTCTCTTCTTTTTAGTTCCCTTTAAACGCAGTCGGGTTTTTTTGTAAATATTCTTGTGGAAACTGTTAAGACGCTACTTGTGTATCTTGAGTTTTTGAATATCAATGTATAGTAATTAATCTATACTAATATTTTAAATGTGAAAGTTTGTATGGATGTATGTTTGTGACTCTTTCGTGCAAAAACTACTGAATGGATTTTAATGAAACTTTACAATAATATAGCTCATACATCAGAATAACACATAGACTACTTTTTATTCCGGTAAAACGTACGGTTCCCGTGGGATAGATTTGTTTTTGTTTTTCTAGAGGCGAATCTGAGCGAAGCGAGTGTGAGCCGCTAGTGTAAAATATTTTTTAAGTTCAACTATCTACAATTTTTAAATTTTCTTACAAATTGGCTGTTCTAGAATTCCACTCTGCAAGGCTATTGGGGTCAAAGTGACGGCAACAGTGTTCACGGCGGCCGCTTCACAGGCTGTTGCCAAACAGGCTGGATTCGAGGAGTTATTTAAAATATCCTATGAAGATCTGGCGGCTAAGGGTTTCAGATTCCCTGGAGTTGAGAAAGATACCAAATATTCTAAGCTCATGGCTTTAGAAATTATCTAGATATTTCATTATAACACTTGCTCTTTTAAGGCTTAAATCAATGTTAGATTAAAAAAAATCGATTATTTAGATTTATCCATATTGGTTATTGTTCTCGAGCATCCAGATCTTTGGGGGCGGTGGCATCCTTAAAACTATAAACTATCCTTAAAGTCCTTAAAACTATATGTTAACTATAATAAAATTCATTTTGAATTTAATGAAATTAATTTCAGTAACAGTTTTTAAACCTAGATTGACAGCTTATAAGAAGCAAAAGCGCAATCTGCGAATATAGATTACAAACCTATTTCATATTATCTGTAACCTGATTGCAGATTTTAAGGCCAGGCAGTCCAATTGATTCATAATAAACAAACAAAAAGTGATTGCTTGAAGCTAAAAAAATATATTATAGTTCGCTATAATAAGTACTTTGGCTATCCGAGGTTCAAAACATAATAATTAAAATTACCCTATTTGACTTGTATTCAGCCCTTTTCAACCGACTTCAAAAAGGAGGAGGTTCTCAATTCGACTGTATGTTTTTTTTTTTTTTTTTTATGTTTGTTACCTCAGAACTCCGTCATTTATTAACCGATTTGGACAATTTTTGTTTTGTTTGAGAGGGTATACTTCCAGATTGGTCCCATTTAAATTTCAAAAAAAAATACCACCCCTAAGGGTGGAAAAACAACTAATGATGAATTTAACCTACTTCTAATTGTCATATTGACTTGAAACTTTGCAAGTATTTCTATTTCCGTTGATAGTACAGTGGTTCGGTGTTGTTGACCTGATCTGATGGCAAGGCCAGAAGGTGGATAGGTGGAACTCTTCAACGGCTAATAGTAGATACTTTGAGTTTGGGCTTATTTTGTTTGATTTGACAAGCCTAACACGTTAGAATCCTTACTTTGCTACTACTGTCTACACTAAAAAGGGAAAAATAAAAACTTTTTAACAAAAAAATAAAAACCGACTTCAAAACAAAAGCACTAAAAAGTAAAAAATAACTGATTGGTAGTTTTCATTTACTATACATACCTAATCAAATATTTTCGAAGTCGGTGTGCTTTGGCTAAGTAATTAAAGCCTACCTATTAAATACATACCTAATGAAATATTTTCAGAAATCGTGCCAGCCCATACAAAGCAAAGCACAACCGACTTCGAAAATATTTGATTAGGTATGTATAGTAAATGAAAACTACCAATCAGTTATTTTTTACTTTTTAGTGCTTTTGTTTGAAGTCGGTTTTTATTTTTTTGTTAAAAAGTTTTTATTAACGTCCCACTGCTGGGGGTGGGCCTCCCTTCAGTACGAGGGGGATCAGGCCATAGTCCACCACGCTGGCCAAGTGTGGGCGGACTGAGCATGTCTTTTGAAAACTTGCTAGGTTCTCTCAGACATGCAGGTTTCCTCACGATGTTTTCCTTCACCGTTAAGACAAGTGGTAATCATGTTGGAAATGATTCGCACATGAAAATATCAGAGGTGCGAGACCCGGGATTTGAACTCACTACATTCGGTTTCCCAAGCGAGCGCGTTACCACTGGGCTACCACTGCCTTCAACCCTACCCTACCCTATTTGACTTACGAACGCAATATTTCTTATAGATAAATAAGGCAAATTACTGAACGCGTATTTTTTAGCTTATTTTTAATTGTTTTTTTTTTATAGTTTACCTGCAAGATACCTTAGTAGGCAAACTTAAAATAAAAATCGCTTATAAATTGACGACACGTTCGGCTCAGTTTGTAGTGACCCTACTTGCTGTGCCAGCGGTCGCGGGTTCGAGTCCCGCTGGAGGCATTCATTTGTGTGATGAATATGAATGTTTGTACTCCAGTCATGGGTGTTTACATTTATAATATTTAAAATGTTATAATATATGTGTCGTGTATCAACTATCTGGTATCCATAACACAAGCCTCGTAGCTTACCATGGAACTAGATGGTGGTGTGTGTTAATGTCTCAACATATTTATTTATTTATAAATTAATTAATTAAAATGTTTACATTTATAGATTTAAGTTTAAAATATGCATTTAAAATATTTAAAAGTAGATGAAATATGTTGTAGTTATTTGTAATTGTGATATAAAATATTACTAAGATATTTGAAATATAGGTACATAGTATCTACTATCTAGTCATTGTATCCATACATACATATATCTTTACATAGTATAAAATGAAGTCGCTTTCGCTGTCTGTTCGCTTAGATCTTTTAAACTACTCAACGGATTTTAATGCAGTTTTCATCAATAGATAGAGTGATTCAAGAGGAAGGTTTATATGTATAATACATGCATATTATAGTACAGAAAAGCCGAGAAATTCAAAGATTTGTATTCCATACTAACCGTTAAAACGTACCTAGGGACGAACCCGAGCGAAGCGGTGAGTCGCTAGTTTTTACTACAAGTACATACATGAAAATGTTAACGGCTGTTATTAGTAGTGAAATATTTATTATTATGTATTAGGTATATAATATACTATATGATATATATCTAAAGCTTTAATAAAAATAATTATGAAAATATGTTTCGTTTTATTATCTTTTAAAGAATATATGTAGGTACATGAACTTAGTTTAGTTTAGATTTCTCAAATATAGATATTTTCCCCGGGTAACCAGCTATCATACTAAATTTCATCAAAATCTGTCCAGTAGTTTTCTCGTGATGCGTTCTCTGACAGACAGAGAGACAGACAGAGGCCTTTGTATCGATAATAATGACTATATCAATAAGATTTTCCAAAAAATATTTAATGTACAGATTCGACTTAGTTAGAATTTTATTAGATGTATAGACACAGATCATATAATACTATACTAGTATGGATAAAAATGATTCAAAGAGCGGTCCATATTCGGTAAAGATATCGCTACATACGTACAACATAATCCGAGTTGAATATATCTTCCCTTTATAAAGTTAGTAGAGATATACAAAAATTAAATTTTAATACAGTAAAAATAATAGAGTTTTGACACATAATAATTAATATACACGGTTCTTGTGGCTCCGCACGCTCTGGCTTAATTATGTGTTACTATATTATCTTTAAAAATTATAGCCTGTGTATAAACTATTTTAATGTAAAATTTAACAAAATCCTGAATGCAAGTAGTTAAGTATTGCTAGAAAGAACAAACATCCATTCGTCCATTCTCATCAACTTTAGCGTTTCCACGTTTATAATAAATACCAGGGACCGTAAAACCCGGGTTTAGAGTTAAGCCAAAAAAAACGGTTACCCATTCAAAATGAACGTAGAAAAACCTTGTTACCCATTATATGTGTAACCTACCTTTAAGCAAATGAAATGTGTTAATCATTTGTAATGATAGCCCTACTATAGAATTAACCCTATCGAAAGGGTTACCACATCGTTTTACGTGATTATCCCGAAACTTACTTTTTAACTGGTGATCAAGAAAGGGTGGGGGAATATACCTATTTGTTTCTAAATTCGTGTAGCACTACAAAACAATGTTAATTTAAAGTTTCATACTCCTACCTGTGCACG